CGCCCCCTCCTCCTCCCCTCCGAAGCCGTAGTCGAGCAGCAGCTCGTCCGCCCCGATGCCGACGCGGTAGCAGAAGGTCACCTCGTCGCCCGCCACCAAATCCTCGGTGGCGCACAGCGCGACCACTCCGTCGCCCGTGCGCACGATCGGGTCCGCCCCGCCGCCCGCCCCTCCCCGGTGGTTTGCAAGGTCGAGGAGCGGCACAAGCCGCAGCGCCGCGGAGCCGTCCGGCGCGGAGTCGCGGATCGCGCGCGTCCGCACGACTCGCTCGGCCCAGTCCGCCTCCTCGACACTCGCGCCCGCCCGCCGTGCGACCCGCTCCGCCGTCGCCTCGGCCCACGCGCGCTGCGAGCGCGCGGCGGAAGCGAGGGCGGGCGAGGAGAGCGTGGCGAGCTCTTCCTCAGTGCGGTCGCGCAGCAACGGGATGCAAGCCTGCGAGCACAGCGGAGGGGAGTGAGTCGACGCGCCGCGTCGGAGCCACTCAGGCCCCGAGGCGCGCCGGCAGGGTCTCCAAGTACGGCGCAGCGTCGTCCCTCGCCGAGAGCAGCGCAGCCATCAGCCGCTCGTGCCGCGCCACCCCCTCGCCGCCGCCGCCGCCGCCGTCCTCTCCGCCGGCGGAAGAGCCGCCCGCCGCGCTCGCCCACAGCGTGCACTCCTCGGGCACGCCGAGCAGCGGCGTGCCTACGGCGGAGCACGACCCGCTCGCGCCCCTCCCCCCTCCAACGCCTCGTCGGGGGCCGAGGCCTCGCCGGCACGCACAGCCTGCGCCACAAAGAGACCTCGCACTCCGTCCGGCCGGACGCCGCACCGGAGAGGGCCGATGTGGCCTCCGCGCGAGAGGACGTCGCACGCCAGCCGAGCGACGGCCTGCTCGGGCGCACTCCGCACCATCTCGCACCTGAGGACCGAAAGAGTGAGGATGACCAACTCAATACTTATCGCGGGCGCGCTCCTCCCCCACTCGCGCCTCTTCCCCATCTCCTCGAGCGCCCACCCGTGCCCCTGCGCGGCGGCGGCGGCGTAGTGCCTCGCCGCCGTCGCCTCGCAGGCAGCCACGCCGTGCCCGTGCTTGTAGGCGCTGCCGAGCGAGTACTGCGCCCCCGCCAGGCCCTGCGCCGCCGCAGCCTCCCAAAAGGTGTGCGCCGCGCCGTAGTCCGCGCCGCCGCTTACGCCCTCCCCGTTGGCGCGCAGTGTCGCCGCCCACAGCTGCGCGTGCGGGTGGCCCTGCGCGGCGGCGCGCTCGAAGGAGCGAGCCGCCGCCGCCGCGTCCCGCCGCGCCCCAAACTCGCCCCGGTAGCGAAAGCCGCCCAGCACGAACTGCGCGGGCGCGCTGCCGGCGGCGGCGGCGCGCTCCACCCACGGGCAGGCGGCCGCGGCGCGCGCGTCCTCCGACTCGGAGAACCAGACGACGAGCGAGTAGCGCTCACCTGCGGGCAGGCTCAGGCAAGGCTCAGGTTGGCTCCCGGAGGCTGACGGCGGGCGAGCGCAGCCACTCGCCGCCGCGCACGTCGACGCCGTGCATGACGTCGTACTGGTGCATGCAGAGGTCGCCCTCGCCGAGCGGGACGAAGCGGCGCGACGACGCGTGCGCCTCTGACTGCACGTAGAAGCCGCCGGCGTACTCACCCGGTGGCGACAGCGGCAGCACGGCGGTCGCAAAGGCGGAGACGTCAAAGTGCGCAGAGAGGCCGAGCCGCTCGCCGGGCAGGTAGCGGCGCACGAGCGCGTCGCAGACCACCGCGCCGCCGCAGCCAGTGCGCTCTCGCACGTACGGAAGCACCCTCTCCTCGAGCACGGGCTGAGCGAGGCGCGTGAGCGGGCCGCGGCCGACGACACGGCCGCTCTCGATGAGCGGAGCGAGGTAGGTGGCAGAGCCGTCCACCGTGTCGCCTTCCGACTCAAACATGGCCTCGCGCGCTGCCTCGCGCAGCGCGGCGAGGCTTCCCGGCGAGACGAGGCCGTGGAGGACGTGGACGGTGCCATCCTCGCTGGTCGACTCTGGGAAGGCCGCGCCGCTCGAGGAGGAGTATGCGTGGCGCGAGAGTAGCGGCAGCGAGCGGAGCGGAGGCACGAGGCCGCTGACGGCGAGGAGCAGCATGCCGTGAGGCTCCGAGCTAGCCAAAGCGATGCTCGCTCGCCACCCAGCACCAGCCGCTCCTCGCTGCTTGGTGTGAATTTGCCCGGATCCTGAACCCTCTGCCGCTCCCAGCCGCACCCGCCAAGCACCTGCCACCGCCGCCTCCGCCTTCAATCTCAATGTCCCACCCCTCTGCGCGCGGGCCTTCTAGGCCCGCGGGTAGTCTCCACCCATCCCCAGGGCCTCCAGGGCTCGCACCTCAACCTCTCATAGACCAGCGCAAAGCGCCATAGGACGTATTTTCTTGTCAATAACAAGGTCTGTGAACTACGAAGTCAAGGTGCCTAGCGCCCTCAAAAGACGAGAGGCAAGCTGGGCAGGGCTCGGCGGCACACGGCGGATGCTGTGCGTCACTGGGCCACAAATTTGGTTTCGACGGCACCCTGCCTCGACCAAACCTTGCTCAGGGTTCTTGGGTGCAAAGAGCGCGGACACAAGTCACAGGGCCCGCTCGTCCATGCGACCGGCAAAGGCCTGGGTCAAAGAGCACAAGGGACAGTACTACGACGCGCTCCATGTCAAGAACGGAATCGTCAAAATTTGTCTCGTCGAAAGGGCGGCATCGCGCCGCCAACCAAGAGAATCATCCACAACTTCGCCAAAGAGGTCGGCAGCCCGAGTGCCGTCGACCGCACCGACTACGGCACAGCCTCCGGCAGCGCCCGGGGCTTCGCCCAGCACCACTCGCAACAGCTCTCGCGCGCCGCCGTCTGTGGTGACGCGCAGAACATCAACAACGCTGCTCGCAACATGCGTGTCGCGCACTCATTCATGACCGGTCTCAATGTCCCACCCCCCTGCGCGCGGCCGGGCCTTCTAGGCCCGCGGGTAGTCTCCCCCCATCCCCAGGGCCTCCAGGGCTCGCACCTCAACCTCTCACAGACCAGCGCATAGCGCCGAAGGAGGTATTTTCTTTTCAATAACAAGGCTGTGAACAGAGTTCGCAAATCGAGATCCTCGAGAGTTCACGCGGAGTAGAGGCTGGGGCTATACCAGACAGAGTTGTCGGTTTTCCGCAATAGAGGAAAAAGAAATCGACGGCGTGATTGCCCGGCGAGGAAACACTCCCGCCTGCTGTGCAAAGAAGAAAGAAGTGCTTGTCTCACTGCGCTCGCCCCAGCACCGACTCTTCACGAAAACCATCGCTTTCGGCGGCAGAATTCTTACTGAGAGCAAAAAGAAAGTGCGGAGAAAAGCTTTCCTCGCCGAAGAGTCGGCATGCTGCGAGCCTCGGTCCACAGAGGCTCCTCCAGGCTGACTGCGGCCGCATTGGCGCGGCCAGCGCCGGCCGTGGGCGGCGTGCGGCGCCTGACAGACCGTGAGCCGCGCCCCGGCCCGCCCGCGACGCGCCCGGGAGCCTGCGGCGGCGCGCGCACAGCGGAGCTTTTCCCCTCAGCTCACCACACCTGTATGTTGTGAGAGAGATTTTTAGCAATACCAAACAACTCTAACACTCACACGTAATTTGGGGCCTGGAGCCCTGTTCACGCGCGCGCGAGACGTGCAGACAGGGTTGCCAGGTGAGAGCGAATGGCGCGGTTCACGCCTCGCACAACAGAGAGAGAGATGCGCTCTGCATGGTGGGACATAAAAGAGAGCGAGTACTTGGGCGAGTAGGCCGTGCGGTCAACGCTGCCGCGCGCGACTTTGCGCGCGAGGCGGCGCAGCTTGAGAACGGCGGTGGGCGAGAAGCCGCCGCCGAACGTCTCGTGGAGCAGCAGGTTGAAGTTGTTGCGCTTGACAAAGATCGCGTCGTGGTAGAAACCGCGATGCGCGCCTTGACGTAGCCGTGGCCGGTCTTGTGGGAGAAGGGTTCGCTGGGCTTTTGTTTTGCAAAGGGGGACCGTGAGTTGAGGAAATCGGAGGACGCGACCCACCTCTGTTTGGCCTGCCTGTGTCGCTGCCGCCGCCGCTCGCCGCCTCGACCGCTCGCACAGCCGTTCACATACATGGACACAGACGAGGACGCGGCGGCGGCCGCCCGCTCGAGACGGCTCGAGCGTGGCTGCCGCGGCTTTGTGCAGCGGCTCCTGGGCTGGCCGCCGGAGCCAGCATCTGATGGAGTCCTTGTCACCATTGCCCCCCGCGTCTCCGAGGAGACCGCAGTGATTGCGTCAAACCAGGACCAGCGGAAGCATGGCGGTGCCTCAACGCTCCTTGGGCGCACCGGTCCTGGTGTGAGCATAGTTCGGATCATTTTGCTCGCGGCGGGACTGGTCGCTCTCGCCCTCGCGCTCTGGAAGACCGCAGCCATTGCTCCATCGTTAATTCAGGCCAACGGGCTGCCACTCGGACTCGCCCAAACCGGAGCTTACTTCATCGCCTACTTGTGTGAAGCCGTCCTCATTGTTGCGGTGACCCCATTCGTGGCGGCGAAGGAGGCTGTGGGGTTTGCTGCTGTCAAGCTCTGGCAGGTGGCAACCGCTTACTTCTCATTCGCTTGGGATGTCATCGCCGCAGTCTTCTCATTCGCTTGGGATCTCATCGCCGCAGTCTTCACCCTCCTTTCGGACGCCGCCGCCACAGTCTTCTCCTTCACTGAAGAATTTATCCTTGTCCCCATGGCCCAATTCCTCCAGCCAGGCGCACAGATTGTCCGGGACAAGGCGGTGACGGTCGCGGAGACTGTCAAGGACGTGGCTGTCTGGCCGTACGAGAACGTCGTGCAGCCTGCCGGAGAGGCGGTTGTAGGCTGCGTGCAGGACGTGTTTTCCTGGTCGTACCAGCGTGTCTTGCAGCCCATCGGACATGCGATTGGCGCCACCGCGACATTCGTGATGGATGCCGTCATTGCCCCGTCACTTAATGCCTTGGCGTGGGCCGTCGCGAAAATGTGGCAAGGATTGTTTTGGATCGGCGACGCGATCCTCGAGGGCATCTCCCGCATTGTGGTGTACCTCTACGAGCATGCGGTGGTGCCTGTGTCTCACGGCATTCGATTAGTCGGGGCAGAAATCGGAAATGGCTTGGGTGCCGCCGCCAGCTGGGTGTGTGGCCACATTTTGGCTCCTGTTGCAAACGCAGTCAGCGCTGCCGCATCAGCCTCCTACCACTATGTGATAGAGCCTGTTGGTTCAGTGATCGGATGGCTAGTCTCCACCCTAGCCAGCGGCATTGCATCCGCAGGCTCCACCACCTATCGATTCGTCATCGAGCCGGTTGGCTCAGAGGTGGGCTCGCTCGCCGGCATCGTGAGCAGTGCCACGGCGCGTTCCTGGGCCGCGGTGAGCTACGTGATGGCTCAGACCAGGCCGCACGCGACGCCCTCGCCACCCCCGCCCCCGCCGTACCCACAGCCGCCGCCACCGCCTCCGCCTCCACTCATCAACGTGTTGCTCGGCGCCGCGTGGTAGGAGCGGCGTTCAGGCGCACCTCGGAGGAAGACTGTGAGGCTTGTCGTTTGCGTGTATCTTTTCCCCACCCAACCTGTGTCAACTTGAACTAATTTATCATCAATCTGAGAGAAATTTTTAGCAATACCAAACAACTCTAACACGCACACATCATTTGGGGCCTGGAGCCCCGGCAGTTAAATCTTCGTGGAAATCGCTGCCTCCTCACCCTCCGCAGAAGGCCGCCGACGCCGACGCCGCCTCGGCCGCTCGCCCCACCGACCGAAGGCTGCTTGGACTCGATCGCCAAAAACTTCAACCCGGATGTCGACGTCAACAACGCCGCCCTCTGCGAGTACAACTTCGCGGGCGGGGAGATCGCGGTGTTCGGCTGCATTACGAATTGCGAGGTGTTCGTCGACCAGAATAGCGACCTCCTGCTCAACTCGAGCGTCAACGAGCTCGGCTTCCCCACGAGCGGAGCGGCACGAGCAACATCAGCGGCGCCTTCTTTGTCTCGAGATTGGCGCTGCCGACGAGCGCGTGCGGGTGAAGCCGGCTGCGCTGGGTGACAATTCCGGCCGCTGCAGGATTCGGTACTTCAGCTTGGTATAGTATCATCGTATGCCAGATCATACCCCAGGGCTATACCCTGATACCCTCTTGAGAGGACCCGCATTGGGCCCCTAGAGGATAGGCTGAGATACCCTCGTGGGTTACCCTTCACACCGGACACGACCCCCCTCTTCACACCTCTTCGCGCGCCGCTGCGCGCGCGCCAAGTCAGACAACGCGCTCGAGTGAGCGTCGCGCAGGAGGGAGGTGAGCGCGCACCACTAAGCAATGCGCTAGGCGAGGAGGGCGCTAATGGCGGCCGTCGTCGCATTTGACGGGCCCGCGGCCGCAGCCGGAGGGTGCGGCTGCAGCCGCGGGAGGGGCCGCGGCCTGCACGGCTGCGGCCGGGGCCGGCGCCGCGGGGGGCGCGGCGTTAGGCGCCGTGGCGGGCTCCGCTGCGGACTCGGTGTCCCCCGCCGCCGCCGTGACACGCTGCAGGGTGATATGCACACATGCGGGCGCTGCCCAGGAAATCGTTCTCGAAGTCAACATGGCACCGGCAACATCCGGTGAATTTCCGAAACAGCTGGCGTTGCCGAAACGAGGAGGCGTGCATTGCGCGCGCAACAGCTGGTGGGCGTGGCGCGCGGGTACGGCGGAAGCGCAAAGAGTTTGAATGATACCGGGGCGGACCGTGCGGGAGGGCTCGGTCCTCGGTGAGAGGTGTGAATTGTCGCTTCGCTGCGCGGCCGCCGATGATACCTTGATACCCAGCCGAGATGGGTCCCCACAGAGGCCTAGAGCATACCTTGATACCCCCTCGAGAAGCATACGATGAATACTATACCAACGCAAGCTGAAGTACCGAATCCTGCACGCTTTCACTTTCCTGGTGGGGGGGGGGACAAGGACGGCAGCGGTGGGGAAGGGGCGGCTGCGACGATGGCGGCGAGGGTGGCGGCGAGGGTGGCGCGCTGTCGCCCTCTGGTAGCATCAATCAGTGCAAAGGAAAGAGTGGGTTGGTCTGAGTTGTTTTGTTTTGTTTACATAGGAATTCCATGTTGGGATGTTAGAGGTGGGTTAAGAGGGGATGCGCGCGAACTGCGGGACCGCCGGGACGACGGCGGGCGGGATGGCGGGTGATTGCGACGCGCCGCCACTTTTGGCGACTTGAATTCCTAAGCAGGTCTTTCACTTTCTTCTGCAAATCGCAGTTTGGATGGAAGATACAAGGATCAAGGAGACGGAGGAGCAACGAGCGCCCTGGCGTGTCGCGTGAGCCAAAGACTCCCTCCGTAGACACTGATCACACACACAAGAGTCGTGATTTCTTGTTGGTTTTCTAAAATCTCTCTCTCACACACACGGGTGGGATGACAGGGTGGGTTGTCACAACAAGCACGAGAGCGTGCTCGACAGAGCGACAGCGCAGCGCACTGCCGTCCGGCCGAAGGAAGGACGGCAAAGGGACGGCAGCTAGCTGCGCTGCGCAATAAAACCATTTCTAATGAAGGTACCGGCACCCTCCATTCCACTCGAAACCCCAGGCGTGGGGTTCCAGGTGGCCCGGACTGCGGCAGAAGACGCCCAATCTTGCTGCGTAAGAAAAAAGAAAGAAAGAAAGAAAACAGACAACTCATGCGAACGACAAGCCGCCACCACACAGGGATTTTAAGGAGAGGAGTGTGATGCGCTAGCCGTCGCCCACCCTAGGGAGTCTGCCTCTTCCTATCTCTTTTTCGCACAGAGGGCACGCGAGGTACGACCGTGCCCGGCCGTGCTATTAAAGCGACTCGGCTCTCTAACAGGCTGCAGCCCAGAGCCACACGGAGTCTACGCGCATCGCTTGTGCATAGCCTCGACCAATCTCCTGTTCACGGTGCAACCGTGAACAAAGAGCTTCTTCGGCTGACAGAACGGCGGGCTAGGCATTGAGAGCCCAGGAGTTTTAATCGCAGTCTCTCGCCGATTCTCGCTGCAACCTTCATGCCACCTCGCGGCCGTCCCACTCTCGTCGTTCTCTCCCTTGTCACTTCCTCCTCTGTCGCGTCATTCTCTTCTGCCTCGTCCTGCGCCGCCGCCGCCTGCCGTTCCCTTGTTCTCTCGGCTTCTTTCGCCTTTCGGCGCAGCTCCGCCCTCCTTGCTGCATATCCTGGCCCCTCGAGTCTATCGAGCTCCCCTCGCGCAAGGACCACATTTCTGACTCCCACTCCGATCATTGCTGCGTAAGAACTAAAAGAAAGAAAGAATTGGGTTTTCTTTTCTCCCGGCAAGCGCTTGCCGGGAAGAGGCGTGTGGTCCCTGGCAGTCAGATTCAATGGTGGTGGCCACTCTCACGCTCGCTGCTGCCGCGCTCGTCGTACCAGCGCCGACGGCCTCGCACTGTCGCACCGCCGGCCCGCCGCGCCTCGCTCAGCCGGCGATGGTGGCACTCAAGGACGACCTGCTCTCGCTCACGGCCGGTGCGGCGACCACAGCGCTAGACGACAGGACCCGGGCCCAGGTGAACGAGATCATCCTCGATCTCGAGCGCTCCTCGCCCACGCCGCAGCCCGCGGGCAGCAACCTCCTCAACGGCGTCTGGACGATCCAGCTGCCCGGGCAGCTCGGCCAGGGCCTGGTGGACTCGCCGACGCGGGAGCTGGCGCTCGCGCTGTACTCGACAGCGTACGCGCCGGGCACGCTGCTCCAGCTGTTCAACAAGCTGCCTGCGCCTCTCGGCATCACGCTGGGCGAGATCTCCGTCACCATCCGGTCGCCTGACGCCGGGCAGCCCCGCGCCTCCACCGAGGTGAGCGTGACGCTGCCGCTGGCGGGCGTGCAGCCGCTCAAGTTCTTCAGCAACCTGACGCCGGTGAGCGACACGCGCTTGAAGGAGGAGGTCATCGAGGCCGAGGTGCTCGGCCGGCGCCAGCTGCTGCCCGGCCCGCTCGCGAGGACGCGCACGCTCTTCGTGACGTGCGCACGCCACCGCACCCTCACCCCGCACCCACAGCCTCGTGTCCCTGGCACGCCACCGCACCCTCACCCCGCACCCACAGCCTCGTGTCCCTGGCGTCACCACGGCCTGCCCTTGGCGCGCCAGGTACCTCGACGAGGACGTGCTAATCACGCGCGACGACTCTGGCGTGGCAGAGGTGCTCGTGCGCAAGCAGGACATGTCGTGGGCGCGCTCCTCCTCAGAGACGAGCAAGAAGGGCCGCGACGAGGACCTGACCGGCGGCGTCGTGGATGAGGATGCGCCGCCCACCAGCCCCGGTGGCGACGAGCCGTCGGACATGGAGTGAGCCGCCTTCGTACCGTCGGGGCGATGTGTCTTGTGTGGGTGGGTTGTGCGAGGGTGCGCGGGGACGCGCTGACGGCTGTTTACTGAGACGTTTTCATTTTCATGCCCCAACACCGGGGCCAAGACGATATATACGTACTCCTCTCTCGCACGCGACGCGCGCGCACACCTGCTAGCTACTACTCCTCCCTCTCACTGAGACTAAACTGATCATCCGATCAATCACTCTCTGAAAACTATGTGTGTTACTCGTGCATGTGCATGTGCATGTGCACCACGCCAAGCTAAGTACGGCCGTGCTCCTAGGAGTGCTCAGTACGCCTCCGAGAGCTCAAAGCACAGGTGCCCCTCCGGCAGCCCAGGCGAGACGCCCAGCGCCGCCGCTCGCCGCAGCAGCGCGCTGCAGTGCATGCTGAGGGTGCGACGCCGCTTGGTCCGCTCCAGCGCGAGCACCGCGACGCGGCCCGCAGCGCTCGAGGCCTCGCGCTCGGCCGCCACCAGCTGCGCACGACCCGCCCCGCCCTCCTCGCCGCGCTCGTCGCCCTCCGTCCTGTCCCCGCGATCATCCCTCTCCCCGCCCTCTGCCTTTGGGGCGCCGCGGGAGCGCCACGGCTTTCGAGGGCCGAACAGGCCAAAGTAGCGGCGCGGCGGCAGCGGCTCGGGAGCGGCGGAATCCCCCTCCGTTGCTGGTTCGGATGCCCGCAGCACCGCCACGGCCCAGCGCTGCTCCCACAACGCGTAGTCCGCCACCGCCGCGTCGAGCTCCGCCGCGTCGGCAGCGTAGAAGCGCAGGTCCTCCGCCCTCTCGCGCCGCGCCCGCCGCCTCTCCACCGCACTGGCGAGGCTTGGGTCAGCGCGGAGGGCGTCAAAGGCGGCGACCGTCAGAGGCGACGCCACGACATCGCTCTGCACGCCGCCATCCGCGTCGGCGGGGTCGGCGTCGGCGGCATCGGCGGCGGCGGAGCGGACAAAGTCGAGGTGCAGCACCCGCTTCTTGAGAGCCCCGTCGAGCTGCCCCACCTCCTCCTCCGAGAGCTGCTGGAGGAGGTCGCCCAGCGGCGCCCGCCGCGCCGCCACGGCAACGCCGCTCATCTCGCCGAGCAGCATCCACAGCCAGTCCGCCTCGCCGCCGCCGCCGCCGCCGCCGCCGCCACCGCCGCCCTCGCCGCCCTCGCCGTCCTCGGCCATCGCGAGCACCTCCTTGAGCCGCTCGAGTCGCGTGGCGACGAGGCCTTGCCGTGCGGCATCGAGGACCTCGATCGCCGCCGCTCGCTCCTCCTGCGCGATCGCCGCCGCTCGCTCCTCCTGCGCGATCGCCGCCGCTCGCTCCTCCTGCGCGATCGCCGCCGCTCGCTCCTCCTGCGCGATCGCCGCCGCTCGCTCCTCCTGCGCCGCACCGAGACTGCCTGGCTCAGCGCCACTGGCCGCCGCCTCGCCCTCCTCCTCTCGATCCCCGCCGCAGTCACCGTCACTGGCAGCCTCCTCGCCACCTCTCCAGCCATCGCCGCCGCCGCCGCCGGCCCCGTCAAGCGCCGCGAAGAGGGAGGCGAGGTCGGCCGGGTGGCACCCCGTGTGCCTTCGCACCCAAGCGGCGAGGGAAGCCAACCACTCGGGAGCGCCGCAGCGGGCGAGCAGAGCGGCGGCGGCGGCGTCACTGGCCGGCAGCGAGACCGAGTGGTGAGTGACGCGGCCAGGGTCCTCGCCGCCGCTCCGCAGCAGCTCCTCGCAAAACTCGGCCGCGAAGAGCGTGCCGTCCGCCACCACACAGATTGTCGCGCCGAGCGGCAGCGCCTCCTCGCAGACCCAGCGGCGGGTCGCCTCCTCCTCGAGGTGCGGCTGGAAGAGGCACAGGACGAGGCGGCGGGGACCAGAGAGGCAGACCTGCGGCACCGGCGTCTGGAAGCGGCGAGCAAACTCTGCCGCGAGTCGGCCCGGCGGTGCCAATGCAGCGCCGAGCGGCTCATCCCGCTGCAAGTATAGCCTCAGAGGCCCCTCCGGGTCCAGCGCCGCGATAGCGTCCCGCGCCGTCTCAGCAGCGCTGACACCGCGCACGATGGCGACGCCCGGCGACGCAAGCCGCGCCGACAAGAGCTCCGCGTCGCGATCAGCCGGCGGGGCTGCCACGGGCAGCCGGGCGTTGGTGCGGGCGACGAGCGAGTCGTACGACGTGGAGTGGCTGAGGTTGGCCGCGAGCGCGGCAGCAGCGGCCACAGGGACGGCGGCGGCGGCGGCGGCGGCGCGTCTCATTGGACAGCCACAAGGCGGAATCCTCACGCCACGCTGAACACGAACCAGATTAGTCCTGTTTACGATAAACTAGGTCTAAACCTGGTATGGCTAATGGGGTTCCTCCCCCCCCCTCCCCCCCCCGCGTAGCGCGCACCTCCCCCCAGCTCCCCTGCTCTGTGACGAGAGAGATGCGGCTCTCAGCGGCACGCGCAAGCGTCAGCAGCCTTGCTTCTTCTCGCGCTGGTCGAGGTTGTGCATGGCAATCTTGACCGTCTCGAGGGTCCACGCGGCAGCGTCGAGGGATCTGCTTGCAGAAGCCGCTAATCTGACACCTGCGTCCTGCCGGAGCGCTTGCCCACAACGCCGACCGTAGTCTGCAGTGAGCGCGCCTCTTCCTTTGCAGAACTGTTGCAGAAAAGACGACGGTGACGGTGGCGCCCGCCTTGAGGCAGACTTTGGGCTCCATCCTCAGGCTTGGGAGTCGGGCGCAGGCTCTGGCCCGGGCTCGTTGCCCGCGCTGGGCTCGCCGCCCAGCACAGCCGATCGCCCTCCGGCAGGCGCTTGTCGTGCTCTGGGCCCGGCCTGGGGCTCCGTCGGGCCGGCCGCGCTCCGCCTCGGCGTCTTCTGGCACGTCCTCAGACTTGTCCTCAGAGAGCTCAGAAAGACGTGCCCATATCTCGGTTCTCGCGCTGATCGTCCTCGGCTGCCGGCGGGGAGAGAGTGCCCTCCTCCTCCTCAAGCCCACGCCAGTCAGTCTGCCTCTTCGCCCATGGCGCGGAGGCTCCGCGCTGCCCTAGAGGGGCGCCCTAACCGGGTCTAAACCTGGTATGGCTAATGGGGTCCCCCACCCAGGCCGAGCCCTGTTTAGACCCAGTTTATCGTAAACAGGACTAATCTGGTTCGTGTTCAGCCGTGGTCTAAACTGGGTCTAAACATGGTCTAAACTGGTTCGCTTGGAACTCTCATAATCCAGCGGCGGCTTCCTACCCTATCCCACTGGAGCGGTGAAGGTGTGGTACTATATACCAACTAAATAAAGTGATGGTTGGTGGTACTCTCCTGTGCAACCACAGTCCTTCCTGTGACATGGCAGTCCGGAGCACTTGGAGTGCAGTCATTAACCGCACATCCAGGGCCGGGGAGCTAAGAAGCGCACCCAGCGGGCCGGATGATTGGCATCGGGTTACGGGCTTTTCCTTCCCTTACTTACTCGAGCACTTGGAGCACTTGGAGTGCAGTCGGTAACCTCACATCCAGGGCCGGTGAGCTGAGAAGCGCATCCAGCGGGCCGGATGATCGGTGTCGGGTTACGGGCTAGAGAGCCCTGACCCCTAGCTAGGGGGGTGCGCATTCGCAGGGCAAGGGCCTTAAAGTAAACACAGGTCTCCGAGGGTTAGTTCTGCGCTTTGGGTGTCCCCTAGCGGCGGAACGCCCCCTCTACTCGGAGCTAGTGAACACCAGACACTAGACACGAGCATGACGTACACTCTCACCCGACATCGCTGGAGATGTTTTCTTTCTTTTTCTACTCGGAGCCAGTGAGACGAGAATACGCACATCTTACAAGAATACATACTGCCCCCACGGAGCACCTGCACTACTCGACGATAATACAAGAAGAATACGCAGCTTGGAAGTTGCAGACGCCTATAAAGAAAAAAACAGCCAGCTAAATTTCGGCGGCTAAAAAGCAAAGGACGGGCGCTTTTGATCGGCAAAGCAAAGTTGGAGTAACGGCGACCGCATCGCCACAATGCCAGTCGCCTGTCGAGCAGCCTTGGCGGCGCGCATGCGCCGCAGGGTTGACCGACAGCCGCGCGCCTCGAGCCTCTCGCTCCACTCGCGGCACGACGCGCCCCGCGCGCCGGTCAGCGCAGCAGGAGTATTGCGACATGCTGCACAACGCCAGTCCGAGTAATTCGTCATCTCGGCTCAGGGACGGACGAGCTGCTCCGTCAGCGACCCGACCGTGCGCGAGCCGCTCTGCACCGCGGCGGCCGCCGAAGCGACCGGACGGACGCTTCGGCTGGCATGCTCGCCACCTTCCTCTCTGGCGCTGTGGCTGGCGCGGCTCTCGCCATGCTCCTCTCCCACGCCGGAGAGATCTCGGACGTCAAGGGGCATCGGCTGCCGACGTCTCTCGCCGACGCCTTTGCTCACATCCGGGAAGGCTGGGCTCATCCGACTCTGATGACGATCGCTCTGATGCGCCACCCGCTGCTCCTGCTCGTCACGCAGCTCCTACTGCTCGTCGTTCGCGCGGCATGGCGGCGCGTCGTGCTGCGGCGGCTGTGGTTGCACTGGCCGGCTGGCATCAAGGCGATCCTCGAGGTGCACTCGGCTCTCCTCGGCTTGGTGGTCGCGTGCCTGCTACTCGGCTCGGCTATCGCGCAGTCAACCGTCCGGTTTCCCGGCTGCGGAGCCGGCGCCAGTGCAGGTGGCGCCGGCAGCGGGTCGTGCCGGGAGCCCGCCTTTGACACCAGGGCTGCATTTGAGGACTTTGACTGGGCGCTGCATGGCCTCCTCGTCCAGACGTTGCTCCCCTTTTTCCTCCACCCAGGGCTGGCGCCGCGGCTGATCGAGGTGATCGCCGCTCGCGCACCGAGCCACGTTCGGGAGGGCCTCCTCGCCCTGCGCAGCTCGGCCCGCAGGGTGAGGGGCGCGGTGCGGCTGTGCTACGCATGCAGCCTCGTGCTGATCCTGCTGCTGCTCTTGCCACTCACCCTCGAGGCCGGCGTGCGGTGGTGGCGGCTCGAGCTGCTCCCTTCTCTCCCCGCCGTGGTCGCGAGCCCGCAGGCGGACGCGGCGGACGAGGCGGCGCTCGCGGCGGGCGCGGCGTCGACGTTGCGGCTGCTCGCGCTCTTTGCGATGCTGCGGCGGTTGGGCAAGACCATCGACCTGCAGCTGGGCCACTACTACGGCCACCAGGAGGAGCGCACCGCCCGGGCCATCAGCGTTGCGACCGGCGCGGCGAGCCGCCGCTCTGCGGCTGCAAGCGCGCAGCCCACAAACACGACGACCACCGCCCTCCGGGCTGTACACTTCAAGCATGTCCTCGTCCACCGCGTGCGAGCGGGGCGCTCGACGTCGCTGCTCCGGCTCCTCGGCGCGCCGCGCTGGCTCAAGTCGTTTGTGCGCTCGCTGCGCTGGCTCTGCGTCACCCCGCCCACCTACCTCTTCTGGGCCGCCCTCTCGGCAGAGGTGGAGGCCGCGTGCGGCTGGCGGAGGCTGCTGCTGCCGTGCCTCCTCTTCGCCGCAAACGAGTGCGGGCAGACGGCGCGGCTGCTCGCGCTGCTGGCCGTGCCCGAGAGCTCCACCGCAGCGCGAGGGCTCCACCGCAGCGTGAGGCTGAGATCCGCGTTTTGGCTCCACCGCCTCGAGATAGTCGCCGCGCTGCATTGGCTCACGCTCTGTGCCGCCGCCGCCGCGCCGGGCGCCTTCTTCGGCCCGTCGCCGCCCGTGGTGGGCGTGCTGCTCGCCGCGCTGCCCGCCGCCCTCGTCGGCGTGACGACCCTCGAGCAGCTGCCCGGCGACGCCTCCGAGCTCGCCGTGCTCCTCCGCTCCGCCGGCAGGGTGGCCGCTCCGGGAGACCTCCACCACCTCGTTGCGCAGGCGCGGCACCGCGGGCTGCTCCTCGCCCCTTCCCGCCCTCCACACCCCCTCCACACCCCCTCCACACACCCTCCACACCCTCCCCGCCGCGCACAGGCGTGGTACCGAGGGCTGCTCAACGCCGCCGTCGTCGAGCCCGAGGCGCTCGCAGGCACAGTCGGCCTGGCGGATGCGCAGCGACAGCTGCCGTGGTGGCTGCGGCCGCCGCTGCCCGACGCGCGGCAGCTGCGCTCCGTGCCGCTGCTGCAGCCAAATCTTACGCCGATGACGCCGGAGCCCGGATCGAGCACGGCGCGCCTCCTCGGCTGGGGGTCCGCGGCCGCCACGGCCTTCGCCACTTCGGACTCCTTCGACTTTGCCTCGGGCAAGGAGCTGGGCCCGCCGCCCACCCGCGGGGCGAGCAGCCTCTTCCTGTCGGGGCTGGACCGCCTCCCCTCGACCCTCGGCGCGAGAGGCCTGAGCGTCGGCAACCTGCGCGCGCTCGCCCGCTCGACCCGAGAGATGCTCTCGCCCTCGCAGTCGCGGCTGGCCCTCGAGACGCCGCTGCAGGGCCTCAGGGCGGCCGTCCTCGCCGCGCTTCCCGACGACCTCGCCTCCTTCCTTGCCGACGGCGCGGACGTGCTGGTGCGGACCGTTTTCGACCGCGGCAAGCGAGGCACACTCGAGCGGCAGATCCGAGAGGTTCTCCGCGTGCTCGGCGCGGTGGCCTCGCACGCGACGCAGCGCGTGCTCTTCTCGTGGAGCGGCCGCCGCCGCCTCCTCGGCGGCCTCGCCACCCTCGAAGACATGCTCCACCTCGCCGGCGAGGCGCCGCCCGAGAGCAGCCGCACCAGCAGTAGCTCGCAAAGGGGGTCGGACGGCGTCTCCACCGACCCACTCCCTCGCCGCACGAAGAGCGACTCGAGCTGCTCGAAGAGCGAACGAGCCCCAGAGCGCACGGCGCTGCCGCCGTTGCTATCGCTGCTCGCCGGGCGCGAGCGGCGCTTCATGGCGCAGCTACGCGCGGCGGCGAAGCCGGTGGGGCGACACGGGACGGGCGGCGGCCGGGTCAACGCTAGGGACCCCTTTGCGTTCGGGTTTGACGGCTCTTGGGTGATCGACGAGCCCGGGGAGATGTTTTTGATGTCCTTGCGCAAGCGTGGGAGCGAAGCGGACAACAGGGAGGGCAGCGGCGCTCGCAAGCGTGGGAGCGAATCGGACAACAGGGAGGGCAGCGGCGCTCGCAAGTGCGGGAGTGAAGCCGGCGGCAGCGAGGGCGGCGGCGCTCGCAAGCGTGAGAGCGAAGCCGGTGGCAGCGAGAGCGGCCGCGCCGGGGGCGAGGGCGGCGGCGAGGACGAGGGCCCCAGCCACCGCGAGACGGGTAGCGGTGGCAGCAGCGATGGAGGAGGAGACGACGGCGATGGCGTGTGCCTGTGGCCGGGCGGGCCACGGCTGCCGCGCGCCTGGAAACTTCCTCGTCTCGCGATGCCTCACCCTCCATGGGCGCCCAAGCCGCCCAAGCCGCCCTCCTCAGGCGAGCCGCACTCAACGAGGCTGGAGAGAGAGGAGAGAGGCTCACGTCGGCGACCGCACGCAGGCGGCTTGTTGGTGCAGGAGGCGGTGCCGCTCTCCGCGCTCTACGACCTCGCCGGCCACAGCTACGAGGGAAGGGGCGCCGAGCTCATCGCTCGCCGCGCGCACGCGGGCATCGAAGGCACTTCCGTGCGTGTGATGCGCTACCCTCCCTCGTGGAGCTGCGTGCCGCCTTCGCCGCGGCCTCGAGCCCCACACCACGTTGGGCCACGAGCCACGCTCGCCGGCCTCCGCGCCACCCGAAGCGAGGGGCCTGAGCCGCCGGAGGAGGATCTGAAGGGGCTGCCGCCCCTCTGGTTCCACGCGACGGTGACGGCGCGGCACCCCAAGGCGCCGGAAGAGGTGCAAGCGGTCGACCTCGAGTACAAGTTCTGCTGCCTCGAGCCGCGCTTTGGCGACAGCTGCGATACGACTTCGCTCAACATCTTACTGCCCGAGCTGTGCGTCGCGATCGAGGGACTGGCCGTCGACCTCATCGATCGCAGCAGCAGCGGGGTGGCGGCCACCAGCTCTCTCCCCGACGTCATCTCGGCGCGCTGGGAGGAGCCGACCGCCGCCGAGGGGCGAGAGGGACTCTTTGGGAAGCTCTCGTTTGTCCTGCAACGGCCGGTGCTCTTCCAGCTGGTGGCGGAGGCGCGGCGGCTCTCGGTGCGAGGCAAGAAGGCTCTGCAGGTGCTCAACCCGCTGATCGGCACGCGTCGCGAGATGCGGATTGAGGCAGACGTCGAGCTGGCACGTCAGTCGACAGCTCGGAGCGTTCCCTGCACCTTCTCACAATGTTCCCCTAGGCGGACGTTGAGCTGACGCGGCTGACGTACAGTCTCATCTTCCGTGAGGAGGAGGTTCACTGGTCCATCTCCGACATCCATCTGCAGCTCGCCCGGGATGGCTCCATCCAGTGCCGCTCCGCCGAGGGTGGGCTCGTCGAGTGGCTGCTGCGCGCCGTCCCCGCGAAGCTGCTCGAGATCATAAACAAGGCGCTGCAGGACAACCTTCGCAAGGAGCAGCCTCTCTTTTTGTGGCGCGGCGACGCGGCCGAGATTGGTGCGCTCGACGGCTTCTATCGCGAGCTTTCTCGCCTCGCGTGGCTCAAGCAGGAGGTGATGCGCAGCTTTCGAGACTCGGGCGCCAGCTGAGGGGGTACGAGGTGGTGGTGCCGTGGCGTCGGAGTGGACGCCACGAAGCGAGGCAGCGGTGGAGATGGTCTTGCCTTTGCATGTGGGTGGCAAGGGGTCGCTTGTAGTTGCGCGCCAGATGTACCATCGAGATGTGTTGCGCGAGCATTGGATGAGACGCGCTGTGGGTAACCTCATCCTCAAAGAAGTGTTGCGTTTGGTCGTAGGAGTAAAAAAAACCGAGGGCGGTGTCGTGTGCTGCCTTGTGTTTGGATACCTTGTCCTCCTCCTCCTTTCCCCTAAAAATAGAGCAGTCATCTCCAGGAGAGATGGGCGACGCACGAACACAGAGGCACAGAGCACAGTGCGCACCCCGCCCCGCTCACAGGGCGTGCATCACACAGGCGTGGACTGTGTGACTCCTCGGGTTTCTGGGACAGAGGTGTGCTAGTCGCTACAGTCGGACGGCTCCGGCACGTCTGATAGGCAGTTCGGGCTCGAGTGAGGGCCGCGGTCGCGGTCGCGGCCAGCGCGCGGGACTTCGCGCGGGGCCTGGCTGGGGCTGCCGGGAAGGATCTCGATCCACGCGCCGGAGCGCGCGTGGTGCTTGAGCAGCCGGGCGGTCGCCGCAGCCACCTCGATCGGCAGCTCGTCGAGCCACTCGGCAAAGGTTCCCTCCTCTTGCGCCTCCTTTCACCTCGTTTGAGTTGTCGTTCGGGCTCCATCTCTTTTTCGTATGACACAGAGTTCTTTTGTTTAAACTCTTTTTCGTACAACTTCGTAACGTACTCGAAACCATGTCCGGCGCGTTTGCCGGCGAGGGCCTAAAGAGCCCGCGCTTTCGAGCCAAGGTCGCGCAGCAGCAGCGCCAGCGGCTCTCCCGGCACACGCCTTTGCGGCAAGAGGCCGACCTCGCAGCTGTCAGTGGTGCTCCGGAGAAGGCTGCCCGAACGGCAGCGCCATTAGAGGCGGCACACCGTTTCATTGGAGAGTACGCCAACACTGCGAGAGGGCCTCGGTCCAAATGGCCATCGGCAATAGCGGATGGACGCAGAGTGACGACGGGCATTGAGGGAGCAGACAGTCGGTCGGTGCCGGCGCCGACTCTGGCGCCGTCGGCTCCAGCGCCGCTGGCGCCACCGCCACTGGCACCAACACCGCCGCTCCCATCCCTTCCTCCGACGCCGCCTCCGCCGCCACCGCCTTCTTCCCACCCACCACAACAGCCACATTCTGCCAGCACTCTGCCTCAGCTGTCACCTCGATCCTCTCCGCGCCACTCTCCGCTCGGCAGTAACGACGAGGCGAGGCACGAGGCGAGGCATGCCACCGACCTGGCGTCGCGAGGGGGCGCGTTCCGGTCCGATGCCGTCCGGCTCGCCGTCACGGTCGCCGACGGGCTGGCTGTCGCCGAGCGGGAGGCTGGTTGCGGCCCGTCGGTGCAGGCTGCCCGCGCTTGCATGAGGCTCCTGGACGAGCTTGTTGGGGCAGTCGACCCTGCGGTGGCGCCGCTGCTCGCGCGGGCAGCGGCCGTCGCCGAGCGCTGCATCTTTTCGGATGAGGTGGACGGGTCCGCGTGCGGGGCGGCAGGCGTGCTGAGGGAGTCCTCGGGTGCATGGGAGACGCGGCTCCCCTTCTTTGAGATTGCGGAGAGCGTGAGCGCGTCGATGCTGGATGCGGCAGAGGCGCAGCGGAGAGAGGCATGCCGCGCGGCGGCGTTGGCGCAGAGGGAGTGCGCGGCGGCGGTGGAGGAGGGGACGGGCCACCTGAGTGCACAGCTCAAGCAGAAGAGCAAGCTCCTCGAGCGGCTCGAGGCGGACCGGGCGACGCTGCGGGCAAAGCTGGAGCACGAGTACGAGGCGGCAGAGAGCAGCGAGCGGCGCTACCAGGCACCGTGCGCTGGGTGGCCCCTGCCGCAGCCTCGCATTGAGAGACGGCGACTCCTCCCGCAGGCGCTTCTGGCCGAGTCGGTTGAGGTGCACCGAGAGCGAATGCAGGCCATGCAAGCGATGCAGACGATGCAGAAGACCAACGAGCAGCTTCGTGCCGCGCTCGTTGACGCCGAGGGCATGAACGCGAAGCACGAGACGGATGTCCAGCGGAAAGTCGTTCGCCGATTCTCCGATGCAGCAGGAGAGGGGAGAGGACCGCCGGCAGACGACTGAGTGAGAGAGCACGACACGTACATATATACGCTTCTCAGCGACACACAATTGCGCACATGGGGTTAAATATACGGCTTTTAGTTTTACCCGCAAAGTCAGTAATTTACTCACACGCAACTCGTTCGACGTTCCTTCGCGACACACTATGTAACTCCGTCGTTTGGAGCTGCACAGCAGCCTGCAGCCACACGTGTGTCCGCACGAGGCGGCTGCAGCCCTGCTGGAGGCTGCAGTCCGGCCGGAAGCACCGCGCCCGCCTGCAATGCTCTCGCCCGTCTCACCAATGCGTCCGCTGCATTCTCCCGGCGAAGCTCGGCTGCCTACCAGCGGAGAGGACGCGGTCTGGGGGACGAACGCCCGGGGGCGTGCCGTCTGGCGGGGAGTGGGAAGCTTCCGCCTCGAGCTCGCCCAGTCGCACGTCCATGCTGGCCGGCGGCTCGCCTGCGCAATGCCGCAACCACACAGCGCGCAACGCGTGCTCCCATGTGCGCGTCCAGAGGCGCGTGTCGAAGAGAGGCGCCGAGAGGCGGCGCGCCCACAGCTTGCGGCGGAGAGCGAGCAGCTCGACGCGGCGCGTGCCGAGCCTGACCGCCCGCTCGACGTAATCGCCGATCCCTCCGTCGGCGATCATCTGCGGGCCGCAGCCGACGGCGGTGCAGAGCGACGCGGCGACGCGAGAGCACATAGCGTCGCCTAGGAGTGTGCAGGGCGGCGAAGGCGTGGACGCGAAGAGGCGGGCCAGGAGCGGTGCGTGCGCAGAGTCTGCCGGGGCAGGTCAGGAGCGGGACCCCCGCCCAGAGCGCGTCGGCGGCGGTGGTGTGGCCGTTGCAGAGCGGGGTGTCGAGGAAGAGATCCGCCTGCGGAGGCGTGCGGTGCCAGCCTCAGGGGCGGCCGCTCGCCCCGGGAGAGAGGGGGGGGGGGGGGGGGCTGGCGGCAAGAGGGGTCCACCTCCCCCTCTAGAGGGAAGCGGAGCAGCCACAGCACGGAGCCGGGCACGCGGCGAAGGATGGAGAGCCACGCGGCAAAGGTCGCCGGGTCCACCTTGTACAGCTGGCTGAAGCAGCAAAACACCACACCCAGAGGGGGCAGACCATACCTCCGCCGCAGAATCTCGCGCAAGCCCCACCCTTCGCCGCCCTCGCTGTCCCCGCCTCCGCCGCCGCCCTCGTCGCCGCCACCCGCTCCGCCTCCGCCGCCGCCTCGCAGCCACGCCGCCGAGACGGCCGTCGGAGGCAGAATGCCTGTGCACAGGTGCGGGTGCGGGTGCGGGTGCGTGTGCGGGCGTCCGAGTGGGGTAGGGCGGAGCGTGTGCGCGCCGCAGTGGAGGAGGGTCTGCGCGTGGTCGGTGACGAGGTACGAGGGCGGCAGCCGGAGCAGTGCCTCCGAGTAGAGATGCCTGTCGCGTGGCAGTGACGCGTCACTGCCACGTCGCGACGGGAGCGAGCAAACGCCTCGGGAGTAGAGGCGCTCGAGCTGCGGCGGCGAGGCGACGGCGTCGGTCGCGAGGTAGTCGAGGAAGGCGCCTCCCGACGAGCCTGGGTCCGGGTCCGGGGCGGGGTCAGGGTCCGTCGCGTGGCAGTCGAGGCCCCGCATGCCGCACACCCGGGAAGCCGAGCATCCCGACCTGCAGAGGCGCGGGCCGAAGCGCGAAGAGCTCCGTCCTCGCGCCGCTCGTGAAGCCGTTGAGGTCGACGCAGACGTGGATGCCGTCCGCCGCGATCCGAGCCGCGATCGCGGCGCTGTCGCTCGAGGAGACGTCCACGAAGTGCTCTGCTGCAGACTCGACAGCGGCGCGAGGCGCAGACCTGTCGCTCTGGCGCAGCGAGTAGCAAAACACCTCGAGGCGGCTGCGGTCGTGGAGGGCAAAGAGCCTACGGCGCAGCGCACGGGCGGCAGTCGGTGCGCCTGCGGCCACGGCGCCGAGCAGAAGGCCCATCGCGGAGCCCTCGTGTCAGGTGTGTCAGCGGGTGGTCGCCAAAGTCGGCAGACACGTACCCCACTCGGAGCCGCGTCGCGCCCGCCGCGCCGCTGCCGGCCGCCGCGTCGCGCGGCGGGTGGCAGAGGCCGCCCGGAGGGAGGAGAGGCCTCAGGCTTGCGGCGACGGCCTCGGCGGCCGCGGCGTGCGCCTGTGCGAGCCGAAGGACAAGCGGCAGCTCGAGCGGCACCGCAAAGGCGTCAAAGGGCTGCAGCGCCGGGCAGGCACCCTCGTCGAGCTGGCGCACGAGGCTGGCTCGCACCGAGACGAGCGTCGCCTCGCGGCTCGACCAATCGCAGATGGAGGACTGCGCTCTGGCGAGGCTGCAGAGCGCTGCCGGGAAATATGCCTGCAACGCCAGCGCCGCACGGAAGTGGCGCACGGCAGCGCCGACGCGGCCAGAAGCTTGGTGTGCGAGAGCGGCGTGGTAATGCGCCAGTGCCTGTGCCTCAGTGCTCGGGGCGGAAGGTGCCGTGGCAGTGAGGTCACGAGGGCTGTCGGGCGCTTTGAGCGAGCCGATGCTCCGCGACGCGATTTCTTGGCTGCACAGCTGGCGAGGACGCGTGTGTGTGAGAGAGTGACACACTCACACTCACTCACTACTCACGGGCGAGGCCAGCGACGCGACGCGGCGAAATGGGCCTTTACCCCCGCTCTGCCACTGTGGCCCGGGGGGATCCAGTTTCGCACGCCCCCCGAGGTCTCTTGGGTCGTATGGTACATGTATATAGGGTGCCCACAGGACCCAAAAGAAAATAGGAGCGAGCAGTTTGTTGATCGTGGAAAAAGAATTTCGCATGCGTACATGCCGTGCTGCCATCCCTCCACCCCTCCCGGCCTGTTTTCGTTCTTCTTTCTGCAAGGACACCCCCTGCTTTGAGAATTATTTGTATTTTGTCCACATGCAAACACGCGGCTGTCAGTCACCCCAAGAGCGGGTTACTCAGCGAGGAGGCCGACCCCGTCTTCCGCGACGATAAGCGCACCGCAGAGGACTGCTTGTACGCCGCAGGGCCCGCTGCGTCCGGCGCTGGCCCCTCAAACGTGCCGTTGTAGACCGCCATGCCCACAAAGAGAATCACCATGCCGACCAGCTGCAGCCAGCTCTCGAACCCCTTCCACGACTCGCCAAAGGCGCCGTTTGTCACCCCATAGTAGAGCCCCAGCTGCGCGAGCCAGGTGACGCTCGGCCGGATGTTGCCGAGGATGGCGCCCCAGACTGCCGACAGCCGCTGCATGATGTACATGGTCATTACGTTGAGCAAGAGGACGGAGAAGAGGTCGATGGCGGAGAGGGCGCAGGCGGCGCCGCTATTTTGAAGCTTGACGAGCGTATTTACCGGGTCCTCGAAGCGGCCGTGGTCCGAGCCAGGGATGAAGAAGTAGTAGACCGGGTACGTCACGAATAGGGTGAGGGCGACACCCACGGCGCCCATGACACCCACCAGCAGGTTTGGCGGCGTGGAGAGGTCGTCGAGCAGCTTCTCTTCGACCACATACTGAAGCGCCGCGACCAGCACCGACCCCATGGCGAAGACGACACCCAGCATCGCCCCTCCGCTATTCTGCCCCTCCACCTCTGACGGCATCGAGTCATCTATTCCGTCTTGCCTCGTCCCGCCGTCCTCCGACACACCGACGTAGCCGACGAGGAGGATCGCGAGGGTGATGATGAAGACGCCCACCGCCTCAGAGCGGGAGAGGATGTCCTTGAGCACATAGTGCTTGAGCAGGGCGACAAAGATGACCGCCGAGGAGCGGAGAAGAATGCACGTCGACAGGGGCAGCAATATCACGCTCAGCGTGGCCAGGCTCGTCGAGACCAGGTCAAACATCGTCGGGATGCTCAGTAGGGCGATCGTCTTGCAGTCGAGGGACTGCGCCTGCGACCCTCGCGTCTCCCACCAGTGCAGCGGCAGCGCCAGTGCCATGCCAAGAAACATCACGAGAGTGCCAAATAGCGGCGGCGTGAAGCTCTCCAGCTCGCCGGTTCTCCCGACAACCTCGAGCTGGTACATTGCCTTGTTGGCGACGGCGACAATGACGCCGACGGCTGTCGCGCCCACGAAAAGTGCGACGCCGACCGCGTCGCACCCGCCCTTGCCCATAACTGTGTCGATGCAGGCTCTGTGCCGGATGTGGACGCGGAAGCCAGGCGCAGTGTGTGTCACAGCTGCGTCGGGCCCCACGAACTCGGCCGTCCGTCCGCGGGCACACTTTCGTTTCACAGCTGTTTGCAAGAAATACGGCGACGCAGCGCGCTACATCTATGAGGGGGTGAGGTGGTGTCGTGGAGGCCCTGCCGGTAGCTAGTTCGATCGATCGATTCTAAGATTCTATAAAAAATCGTGTTGGGTGTTGCACCCTGTCTGCACCCCTCGCCGCGCTCCGGGCGCGGCCGTTACTTTTTGAATGTACATTTTCACAGTTTGTTTCTTCCTTTGACACTCTCTACTAAAAGAAATGGCCCACGTCCCACCGGCACATCGCACAGGGGCTTGGGGAGGCGAGCAAGGAAGGGGGGCATCACAGCACACACAGGGGCTTTCGGTTTCCGTTGCGTGGACTCCTCTCTCCCAGCGGCTTGCTACTGTACACGATCTTCAGTGTTGGGGCGGAGAAGTGAGGTGGCGTGGGAGCGCTCACGGGCGCCACGCCAGGCCAGACTCACTTGGACTCGCGGACCCGAACAAAGCCGTCGCCGAGGCCGTCACCCTCGGCTTCCGAGGTGGCGTTCGCGTCGGCAGCGTCCGCGTCATCAACCGTGCCCGACTCTGCATCAACTGGCTCGGATTTTGCGGGAGGAACGATGGCCACCTTGATGGGCTGCTTCTTGCCCGCGGTGACGCGAACCAGGCCGTTTGTGACCTCGATTGCAAGACTCGAGACGTCAACCGAAGCGGGAAGCCGGATGGCGCGGCAGAAGCGCGCGCGATGCTCGCCGTTGAAGGAGTCCGTCTCAGCTTGGATGATGAGCACGTTCTCGTGATTCACCTCCGCCTGCACGTCCTCCTGTGCGATCCCCGGTGCGGGAATCGTGACGTCAAACTTCTCGCTTTTCGACGCGGCGGGAATCGCCTTTCCCGGAGGCTGGGCCTCACGGCGCTTTGCCTGGCAGTCCTTCTTGGTGAAGTGAAAGAGGACGGGATCCGGATGCCAAAACAGCGCGCTCATAGCGAGGGCGATGAGCGCAAACGGAAGGAGCGAGCTGAGGAGCACGACGGCTACGCGGAGTAGGAGCGGGGCCGCGAGGAAGAGCACGATGAGGTGGAGGGCGGAGGGTGCGCACGGGCGCGCGCACGGACGGCAGGAGGGCTTGGCGTAGACGAACATCTGAGAACAGGACCGTCTGGAGCGTGTCTTCGGAGCGTCTAGAGTCGACTCTGGAACCTTTGGAGGTGTCTCGGCGGAGTCTCGGCGAACGTCCTGCTGCGAAATATTTTTCCGGGCGAAATTAGCTTTAGGGATGCGGCGAGTCTTGTCTACAACTCTCGGCACCGTGCGAGAGACCGGGAGGGTCAGATTTTGTGTTGGTTTGCGCGTTTCTTTCCGTTTGTTTGTCGCGGGTGCGAGAGAGATTTTTAGCAATGTTTTTGTTCGTGTGCGTGCCCCACAGCTGGAGGGTGCGTGGGAGCCTTCTCGGAAAGAGACGGTGCGCGCGTGCGGCGCGTCGCGCAACTAAGAGAGAAGAGTCTCTTCTCTCTCTCTCTCTCTCTCACTGCTTGGAGTGCAGTCATCAACCGCACATCCTCATCCATCCAGGGCCGGGGAGCTAAGAAGTCTCTCTCTCTCTCTTTCTCTCTCTCTCTCCCCCCCCTTCTCTCTCTCTCTCTCTCTCTCTCTCTCTCTCTCTCTCTCTCTCTCTCTCTCTCTCTCTCTCTCTCTCTCTCTCTCTCTCTCTCTCCGCCTCTCTCTCTCTCTCTCTCTCTCTCTCTCTCTCTCTCTCTCTCTCTCTCTCTCTCTCTCTCTGCGCCTCTCTCTCTCTCTCTCTCTCTCTCTCTCTCTCTCTCTCTCTCTCTCTCCCTCCCTCCCTCCCTCCCTCCCTCCCTCCCTCTCTCTCTCTCTCCCTCTCCCACTCCCACTCATCTCTTCGCTCTCTAAAGAAAGAAAGAAAGAAAACAGACACCCCAAGGGAGGGATGGGAGGACGGCACGCCGCCACCATCGCTCTCTCTCTCCGCTCTCTCGGCTGGCGGTTTTCTTTTGGCGCACAGGACTGTGCCCAGTGTTGTGCGCGGGAGCTTTTTTTGAGCTTGGAGCACTTGGAGGGTTTTACAATTCTTTTGGCGAGGAAGAATCCTGGCACATACACACACATGCTCTCAGCCCTTTTTGTTGTTGGCCTCGCTCCGCGGGCGCCGCTCGCCCCGGCTATTTTGTCGCGGGTGTCGCGGCCGGTCGTCATGGAGAGCCTCGCATCAAAGATGCTTGGCACACTTGTGGACGGAGTCAAGGGTGTGGCCGCGGCGGCCGGGATGGACACAGAGGAGGCGCCGGCAGAGGCGGCTGGCGGCGCCAAGCGGCCTTCGGACATCGAAGGGGTCGTAGCCGACATCGATGCGCGCGCCAAGACCGGCGAGCTCACCTTCGATGACTTTGTGATCATGGCGCGCGGCTTCGCTGGGATTGGCGAGTCGGGAGGCGCGCTCCCGGGAAAGCTCTCGACGGACCAGATGCTGGAGACGCGGGCCAAGTTCGAACGGCACGCAAGCATCGTCGATGTGATGCTGCCCGAGGAGAAGAGCGATCCGGCTCTCCTGATCGATGACCTCAAGGCGGGCGCCGCCAAGCCAGGCCCGCGCATCCAGCGGCTTGCCACGGCTTCTGGTCAACCCGAGACGGAGGTGGCGCTGTTTCTGATGCAGTTCGAGGCGATGCGTGAGTCTACTCGCCGCATCGCGGCGGGCGAGGACCCGGACGCCGTCACTGAATCCATGTCAGCGACGCCGGGCGGCTCGAACCGCAAGGCGAGGCGGGCGGCCAAGGCAAAGGCAAAGAAGAAGAAGATGTGAGACTCATGGAAGCTGCCTTATGGTTGTTGTCGGGGTATTAAGTGCCTTTCAGCAAACACCGCACGAATCACACTCTTTCACAGAGCAGCGTCACCACAGCGTCTCGCGGCGAGTGCGCACTCTGCACTCTCTCGGCACGCGCCGTCTCTCGCCACTCGGCTCTCGGGACACTCGCGCGCACTGCGCGTGGCCTCTGTGCGGCACCTCTCCGGCATCTGCCTGCTCTCCGCAGCACAGCCCTCCCTCTCGCCAGCCGCTATAGCTCGCATCACAGCGGCGGCGCCACCGCCCCACTCAACTCTCTAAGGGAAGCTCGTGCCGCAAAACATGACCGGCCAGGGAACCTCTCGTCGCAAAGAGCTCAGAGGGTAGTGGTCGTACCCGCCGCCGCTCCCTTGTTTTTGCGCTTTTTCGCCCCCGTCTGCACCTGCACGGTCACCGTTTGCCCAGCATCGCCTGCGGCCGCTGCCTTCCGAGCCTTCCGCTTCGCCTTTAGCTGCACTTTGTTGTCATGGATTTGGTTCGCGACGTCGGCGAGCCGCGCCTGGCAAAATGAGCACGACTTGCACTTGCAGTAGCGGCAGTGGTTTCCCGCCTTTGGCTCCTTGCAAAACTCGCCGCACGCCTCGTACCGGTAATCGCCGGGCAGGTTTGTGATTGGGCACGTCTTGCGCTTTGCAGTGCCGCCGGCCGCCACCTCCTCAAGCTGCCGCTCGTCGTCGGCGAGAAAGCCGTCCTCCACCATCCACGACTCGACGGCGGGCACTGCGGCGCAGGTGCCCAGCGTGAGCGCCAGGATGGCGAGGCTCCGCATGATACTCGGTCGGGGTCCGGCGACGGGCTGCGGCGGGCGCTCCCACGAAGGACGACGGGCGCGGGTCATCTGTTTTCCCTTTGGGTCTGGGGTCCTGTCCTTTTTCTCAACGATTTGTAAACTAGTTTTCTCAAAAGAAAAATACACCAGAGGGTAGGGCGGGGGCTGCTGTCAACGATGCCAAAACGCAGCACGGCATCCTCCGCCGCCGAGCCCAGCCCACTTCCAGTGCCAGTGTGCGAGGCACTCGGCCTCGCCAGCGTGCGGCAGCTCTCCGAGCTATTCCACAGCGAGTGTGCCGCGCTCGGTGGCCGCAAGCTGCATTCGCACTTTGAGCAGTGGCTGTGGTCGGCCCGAGCGGGCGTTTCTGAGGAGTGCGCTCCCGTGATTCCGCACCCGCCGGCAGCTGAGGCGTCGACGGCGCTGCGCCGGAAGCTGGTTTGCGCCGGCATGAGCGAGGAGGCGGCGCTCGCGGCGACGGCAGCACTCGAGCAGAGGGCCAAGGCGCTCGCGGGGCGCCTGGCGTGCGCTCGCGCCGCGGCCGGCCCGCAGCAGGCCGCGTCGGAGGTGCGGTTGAGCGGCTCCGGCTCGGGCGGCACCGTCACCCTCTCGTGCGGTAGCGAGAGCGTGGTGTGCAAGCGGTCGCACCTCGAGAAGCTGCGCGCGCTGCTGAGGAGCGGCGACGCCGGCGACGCCGCCGCGGCGAGCGGCGAGCGGCTCTTTGAGCGGTCGCCTCGCTGGGCGCTCGTCGCGCGTGCCTTAGTTCGTGGGTTGGTGACGAGTGGGCGACGAGTAGGCGCGCCTACTGCGTGCTCGCCCGCGTGCTGGCGCTGCAGGGCGGCGAGCCTCGGGCGGGAGGGATGCAGGCGGCGGTCGGGTACCGGGTCTTCGACGCGCTCGCCCGCCACCACGGCGCCGCCTTCGAGCTCTTCGCCTCGCCGCTCAACGCGCGCTTCTCCTCCTTCTGCTCCGCCGCGCCCGACGTCGACCGAGCCTTTGGCTCGGTCCTCGCCCTCGCCCGCCCTCGAGACCCGCCCCTCCGCCACCTCACGCCCTGTAACTGCGACGCAGGTCGGCTCCTTCTTCTCGCCCTCGCTCGACCCCCTCCTCGCCTCTGGCGCGTTCCAAGCCAACCCGCCCTACGACCCGCCCCTCGTCGCAGCCATGGGCGAGATGCTAGCCGAGATGCTAGCCGAGATGCTAGCCGAGATGCAACCGAGATGCAACCGAGATGCAGCCGACGAGACAGAGCAGCCCCACGACCCGCCCCCCCAACCCCGGCCAGGCGAGCGGATGCACGCGCTGCTCGCCTCGGCCGACGCGCGGCGCGACGCCCTCACCTTCATCGTCATCATACCGCACTGGCAAGACAAGCCCTGCTGGCGGGCGCTCGAGCAGTCGTGCCGCTGCTCGGCGCACCTGCGGCTGCCTCAGGCGGAGCACGGGTTCTTCGAGGGCGGGCAGCACTACCGGCCGGCCCTGTGGCGGGCAGCCAACCACGACACCTCCCTCTTCTTCCTCCAGTCCGCCGCAGCGCCACGGCCGAGCGAGGCGTCGCTCGCGGCGCTGCGGACCGCTTTCCGCGCCGCCCCCTCCGCCCTCGAGCCCCCGATCGGCGGCGCGGAGCTGCGGCCCAGGCTGCGGCCGCCCTCCGAGGCGAAGGGCGCGAAGGTGCGGCGGAGGGCAGAGGGCGGCGGCGCACCGGTTGAGGCGCCGCTAAGCGCAAAGCGAGCAGCGCTGCTCTCGCGGCCGATGGCGGAGCTGCTCGCCGGCACGAGTGGCAAGCAGCGGAGGCAGGCGCGGAAGAGGCTCAAGGAGCGGAAGCGAAAAGCGATGATAACGGATCCGAATGCAAAAGAAAAATGTGTAATGAGTGTGTGAAAGCAAACGCTGTGTGTGATGCCATGTGGTCTAGCATCTACGACATAGCCGTAGATCGCGTATAGAGTAGTGTGGCTGTGTGCGCGTGTCCACGTACACCACGAGTGTGCGCACATTGGGGGGCGAAATGTAGAGGGTCGTAGCTTCTAACACTACACATCGTCGCTATGGACACAGCGGGCGACTCCGCACACCGCGCCACAGGATGGCAGGAACAGCTCGCGCATCAGTCACACTGACTGTGTGTGTCTGGGTGTGCCACGTGCTCTCCAAGCACAGCCGCCCTCCCCGCGGAGTCCCCTGTCCCCGGCTCGTCGGAGACTGGGATCCCGCCAGGAAAGCCGTTTCGCTGTGTGCACCGTCCCACCCACACCGCGCCAGCTGCGGTGGTGCGAGTGTGGCCGCTACCAGCGCCGGGCCACGTCCCCAAACCAGCTCGCAAACTTGTCGCGATGGCCGGGCCTCATCTCCACCTCCACCGCCACCTGCCTCAGCTCCTCCCCGCCCATCTGCGCGAGGAAAGCGAGGTCGTCGTACCCTAGCTCGTCGAACCGGTCGGCGTAGCTCGAGAGGCCAATCGCCTCGAGCGCACCCGCAACCGGCGCCATGCCAAGGGGCGGGGGAGCGGGCAGCGTGCCACCGCCGCCTCCGCCGCCTCCGCCGCCTCCGCCGCCTCCGCCGCCTCCGCCGCCTCCGCCGCCTCCGCCGCCTCCGCCGCCTCCGCCGCCTCCGCCGCCTCCGCCGCCTCCGCCTCCGCCACCTCCCGAAGGGGCTGGATGGACGGGGGTGGGGACTTGCGGCGGCGGCGGCGGCGGGAGGCTGCGAGAGGTCGCCGGCGAGGCTCCGGCTCGCTTCCGCTTCTCGACTGCAGCTGGCGCGGCCGCCGTTCGCTTCCGCTTCTTACCGCCAGCGCCTGATTTCGCCGCTGCCTCCGCCTCCGCCTCCGCTCGCGTGCGAAAGGTGCGGCCGTCCGGCGACGTGTAGGTCGAATGGCAGTCGCGAGTCGTGCTGACGCGCCAGCCTGCGCTCCAGGCGCCATTCCACATCTTCTTGTCGACCGCAGCGGCGTCGAGCTGCCCAATCTGCCTGTGTCTGCCTTGCGCCAGTCCAAAGGACTCGGCGACTTCTCCTCGACTCCGATATTTGGTGCCGTCTTCATCGTGGTAATAAATGTTTCTGTCTCCGGTTCGCCCTATAGCCGTCCGTGTCGTCCAGCCTCTCACGAGGTCGGCGCTGCCGCCTGGAAGCGAGGCGAGGTACTCGCTGAGGGCAAGGAGCGCTGCAGGCTTGTCGGCCCAGCCGAGGCGAGCTTTGCTGGCGTGCGCCATGGATTCGTGTAAAAAGAAAAAAAGCGCCGAAGAAAAAAGATGTCGCCGGCGACACACACCTTCCCGGCAGACTTCGCGCGACGGGCAGACGGCGGGCGCATCCCCGTGCTGCGACTCGAGCATGTCTCGCGGCGGTCGTGGGCGTGCGTGGCTGCTCGCGCTAAGGAGGCGTTCGGGCAAGTGCACGCCGCCTTTCGCCGGGCGGTGCTGCCAAGCGGTATATGACGCACTCGGGTGAGAGGGACCCGGGTGCTGTACACAAGCCGAGGAGGCAGCGTGTTGTACTCTACAGTGAAGTACAGCGTGTTGCCGCGTCGCGTCGTCGTTTGTTTGTGTCACCTGTGTAGAGATTTTGCGAAACTGAGACATCTCATAGAGAGATAATGTGTGAGGGTTAGAGTTGTGTGATAGATGAACTGGAAATGAAAAAAAGCTAAAAGGAGGGCGGGGCATCTCTGATTTTTTGGGGCTTTTGAGTTTTGTTTTCTTTGCAACGGTATTATTAGGAATCCAAGAAGAACGGTATTATTATGAATCCAAGAAGAATCCAGCCGGGAAGTTTATCCTTTTCTTTTTGGTGTTCGTGCCAGTGCTCGCCAAGAAAAGGGGGGGGGAAGACAACCAAACGAGGGATGGGAGGAGGACAGGGTCCCCACCTGCATGAGCAGGATTTTGGAGTGCTCGCCAGAAAGAAAGAAAGAACAGGCAACCCAAGGGAGGGATGGGAGGACGGCACGCCGTCACCACACAGGGATTTTAAGGAGAGAGAGAATTCTTGATACGAAACCACGACGACACACACCAGTCGACTCGCATCGGTTGCCTCCATGAACGGCGGAGCTATTCTCGCGCCCACACCACACCTGGCTCCAACGTGGACACGCCCATAGCTGGGGACACTACTAGGTCACGCATGGCATCACAGAAGTTTTATCTCTGGGCCCCGAAAGGCATCTCTAGCAGTGTCGTTACACATGCCCCCTCCCCTCCTGGGCGCATGCGCCTCACGTCTCGCCAGAGCATAAGCCCTTGGCGTGTGGCGAGACGAGTTTTTCGCCATCGCAGCGAGCAGCAAGCCGCCCGCCGCAAACAGCCGGAGGCCTCGCCGCGGCACTGGCTGCGCCGCGGTCCCGCACCCGTCGACGCAGCTCCCCCCGCGGAAGACCGCGCGTAGCAACGTCTTGACGATCGAGATGAGCGTGCCTGAAGCTCGCCCACCTACTGCCCCTGAGAGTTGGTTACGAGTGGGATCGGCTCCCCCCCTTGGGATCACAGCTTCCACGACCTCGCACCCAACATCACAGGCGGGATCAGAGAGAGACTCCACACCGGACACCGCCCGGGCACAGCCCCCCTACCCGTCGGATCGCACAGAGGGCCCCCTCGGAGCAGCCCACACACAATCACGCATCGGCAGATTGAGTGCCTGAGTCAGGCAGACAGCACAGACAAGAGGAGAGAGAGGAGAGAGAGAGAGAGAGAGAGGAGAGAGGAGAGGGTGAGGGTGTGAACACACGTGAGGAGTGGGGGAGGGTGTCTGTGGTGGGCTGTAGTCCTACTACGTGGTTAGAACCACGCGCCCCTCAGGAGCTTAAGGTAGAGCTGAGCGTCCAAGACGCCTCGGTGCCACCCACCGGCGTGAAGACCATCCGGATCTACCGAGCTCGTCCTCCGGACGGACCCGTCCCCGCGATGGCCCACGGTCCTCCGTCGCCTGGTTGAACCCCCTGCCTCCCGGTTGACCCCCCGGTCCCCGTACTCCACCATGAAATAAACTCAAAGTCCACCACAGCCACCACCCTCCACCTCCACCGTCGAGCCGCGATCGCTGCCGCCCGCGACGCCGCCCGCCGCGTCAGATAGCCGCGACGCGCGCATCGAGTCGCGTCGGAGAGCCGCGCCGCACCAGCAGCAGCATCTGCACCACCAGCAGCAGCAGCAGCACCACCACCACCACCCGAGAGAGAAGCGCACCTGCCCGACGCCGCCCGCCGCGTCAGACGCTCGCGACGCGCGCGTCGAGCCCAGTCGCACAGCCGCGCCGCGCCAGCAGCAGCATCGGCACCAGCAGCAGCAGCACCACCACCACCAGCACCAACAGAGACAGGCAGTGCAGGCGCAGAGGCGCTCGCAGAGCGGCGCTCAGCGCCGCGCACGCCACGCTGCGGACCGTCGGGCGAGCGCACCGTACGTCGGCGGCGAGCCGCGTCGCCAGCCGTCTCGCGAGAGAGCGGCGCCGCCGCGTGCGCGCAGCAGCCGCCGCGGCAGAGGCGAGCCGCGGCGACGTCCGCACTAACGGATAACGGCCATTGGCGGTTTCTCTCTTCTCTCTCTCTCTCTCTCTCTCTAGGGATTTTAAGGAGTGCTCCCCAGTCCGAATTCTTTTTGCCTGCCCGCCGTCGACAAACGCCGTTGCCCACGACGCGAGATGCCTGTGTGCGACCGGCGGCAGTGTCGGTCATCGCTGCCCGGCCGGCCCGACGACTGCAACGCCAACGCCGCCGCAGGCGAACCGGCGGCGTGTGCAGACGGCTGGACTCCGACGCGGCAGCCAGTCTTATGGGCTCCTGTCGGCGAGGAGAACTTTGACTGCTGCGCGGCGGACGGCGGCACCGTGGCTGATTCGGCCGAGGCGGTGGCCTTTGCGGACGCCCTGGAGAGCTGCATCCGCGAGGCCGCCGAGGCGGTCTCTGCGAGCGTGCCTGCGTGGGCCGACCACTGCGAGTCGGTGTCCGCAAAGACTGCGCTGCAGCGGCGCGAGCTCGGCCGGACCCTGGACCCGCTCTTCGACGCGCACGGGTACACAGCCGCCCTCTGGTGCAGCATCTACTCGAGCGCTTGGCCGATGGGCTGGACGGATGGCAACTGGTACGACATGTACCTCTGCCCGGCAGCTCGGGCGTGCTCGGGGCGCGAGGCGCTCGGGGAGGTCGACGAGGCGGTCGGCTCGGACGGCACCGTCGAGGAGGGCGAGACGGCCCCCGTCCGGACCATGTCGTGCGCCCTCTGCCGCCGGCTGCGGGCCCGGCTCGGCGAGGCGCCCTTCACCCTCGCGGACACCATCCCGTCCCGCGAGCGGCCGGTGCCTGGGCGGTACCCGACGAGTCGGTACCAGCGGATGGCGGCCGAGTATGAGGCTCGCCTCGGGAGCCGCGGCTACTGGGACCGGTGGGTTGGGTGGGACCTGCACCCGTTCGGAGTCTGGCTCGCAGACGCGGTGTGGCCGGCGCAGCTCGAGGAGAGGAGGCTGTGGGAGGCCGAGGAGCGGATCGCGCGGTACAGGCTCACCAACGGGGAGGTGATGCACGGGTTCGTCTGGCAGTCCCTCGCGCTGCTCGCAGAGCGGGCGCCGCCCCGCGACCCGTCCGAGTGGGTCTTCACGGCGTGCGACCCGACCTGGCGGTGGCAGAACGAGGGCACCAACCGAGGCACGTGCGCGCACGGGGCCGGGCACGGGCTCTTCTACTACTACCGGCGCGGCGACTGCGGCTGGAGCTGCGCCGTCCGCGCCGCCCTGCCCGCCTGCTCGCGGGGGCCGCTGGGCGGGTGGGCCGCGGAGGGCAACTGGGCCGAGCTGTGCGAGGGCGGAGTCTTCCACTCTGCCTTCAACTCGCTGACTGCGCCGGACCTGCTCCGGCACGCGGCTCTGTCGCCCGCGTCCTCCCTCGCCGAGGCGGTCTGCGAGGCGGGCTGGCGCGGCTGCGCGGTCAACCTGGGCGCCGAGGAGGGCGAGGGGCGCTTCGCACTCGCAAAGGCGGGCTTCTGCGACGTCTCGGCGTGGACCTCGCGCATCGCGCTCCTCGACCCATCCCCATCCCCCTCTCCTCTGCCGCCGCCGCCGCCGCCGCGGTCCCTCCCTTCCCCACCCGCGCGCTCACCGCCGCCGCCCTCGCCGCCGCCGCCTCCACAAGTGACGTGGCTCCCTGGCCTCGGGGCACCCGCCCACGAGGCTCACGAGGCCCTCTCCGGCGTGCCGGCCGAGCTCACCCGCCAGTTCTGGCAGCTGCCTCCGCCGCCAGCCGCCGCCCCGATGAGAGGCGGTGGCGCTGGCGGTGGCGGCCCTCCGCTCGACTCGCTTGTGGGCGGCCACGGCGAGGAGGCGGCTCTCGCCCTCGTCCTCGCCCTCCTCCTCGCGTCGGCCGTGTGCGTCTGCCGCCTCGTCTGCCGCGGTGCAACGCCGGCGGCGGAGCAACGCGCGGCGCAGCGCCCGCAGAGCCAGGGGCGGCTCCCTGCCGCCGGCCGCCGCCTCCGCGCGGCCGTGATGGGGAGAGGTGGTGGCGGTGGCGGGCGGGTCGCCCGGGCGGCTCCGGGAGGGCGGAAGCTGAAGTATCTCCGCGCCGGCACCGGCGACGACGTCGACGACCGCGAGTCGTTCGTCACCGCGGTGGAGGACCCGTCGTACTTTGTGAGGTCCGTGTGAGCGTTATGGCGCGCATCGTGTGTCGTTGTGGCTGCGTGGCCAGCATATACACAATTCCTTTACCGTGGTACACAGGTGCGTGTATTATTTTTGCTTGGGGCGGCACTCATGACGGGGTAGGTAGGGGGGGTAGGTCTGGCTCTGGGCCCCCTTCCCGTCGGGTTTTCCCTCTCTTCACGCTGGAATTTTCACATCAGAGAAAAAGAATTTTTCCGCGGAAATCACGATGTCAACCCCTCCCCATGTCCCCCCAAGTGAGGTGATCTGGTGCTTGTAGGGCTTGAGAGTGGCCTGCCATGTCACAGGAAGGACTTATGGTTGCAGAAGAGTACCACCAGCCATCACTTTAGTTGGTATAGTACCCCACCTTCACCGATCCGGTGATTTCTTTAGTTTCGCAAGGTAGGTAGGTAGGGTAGCGGAAGAGGTTGTGGGCCGTGAGTTGACGGAAATCGAGGGACGCGACCCGCTTCAATGCGTGTGGTTTTTGCCCATGCACATTTTTTGCATGGGCAAAAACTGTTGCATATGTTGCATATCACACATATCATGGCATTTGAACGCATTATTGTGCATTCAAGACTGCATTCTGCATTTTCTGCATTCGGTGGGCAACTGCATTTCTGCTGCATTTCTGCATTCTTTGGGCAACTGCATTTCAGCTGCATATGCGGCGGGAAACTGCATTTAGTTGCATGGATTCACTGACACACGGCCTCCATTGCGTGTGCACCTAATCCTCCAAAAAGACGAATGCGAAAATGCACTGCATGGGCAAAAACCACACGCATTCGTGGGCAAGAACCACACTTATTCCGCAGGGCAGGGGGCGGCCAGGTTTTTGCAGAATTTCATCATAAATAAATAAATAAAACGGACACCTCTACTAGGAGATGGGTAAAAAGGAACAGGTCCCCGCCCTTGCGATCTTTGTGCAGGGTTCTTTGTGGGTGTGGTCGGCGACTAGCCGGGGTCGTCCTCCCGATGGGGGACTAGCACTAGCCGTCTTCCACATGGTCCCTCGGGTCCCTGCTGCTCCTAATGGAAATCTCTTCGTAATCCTCCTGCTTATTTCCGCAACGTCCTGCTCCCTCCCTCGTCTCGCCCTGCGCGACTGCTCCGCCTCACCGTCGTCTGCTCTGCGTCGTCTGGTGACGGGTCCTCCATAGTCGGTTGAGGTCGCCGCCCTCCTCGTGCCTCTTCCCAACGTTCCCTCGGCGGCCGATGCCGTCCGCTCCGGCTCCCCAGTCCCCGGGTCTGTCCTGCTCTCTTCTGCGCTAGTTTCTGTTTCGTCCTCACCGGCGTCCCTCCTCTTCTTTCTCCCCTTCTTGTATGCTTTGTACATCGCGTCGATTCCGTTTCGCGTGAGCACCATCCTGAAGCCCGCCCAGCAGCTGAACCGCTCCCTAAGTCGAAGGAGCATCATCAGTCTCACCCACTTCGCTCGCTGCCCACCGTCTCCGCTCCCTCCCGCTTGAGCCGCCGTCGCGGCCCTCGTTCGTCCCACTGGCTGTTGGCCCGTCGCCTGCGTTGCTTGCGTTATCCCTCCTCCTCCGCGACTCCCTCAAGGCCGGCCGGGCCTCCTTCCACCCAGTGAAGAGCTTCCTCAGCCACTCGATGTGTTCCTCTCTCTTCATTATGCGCGCCGTAGCCTCATCATTGAGCTGGATCCACCTCTGCACCGCTCCCGTCGCCGCCTCGGCCACGACTTGCAAGTTCCGCCTCGTGACCCCGGCGCCAAGGTCCCTCCGACTCTTATAGAATTTCATCATGAGTGCCGCCCCAAGCAAAAATAATACACACCTGTACTACACAGAAACGACAAAGTGTTGAGTGTGTATAAGTTTAATTATATGCGTGAGACAGAGAGCGGGTTGGGGATTGCGATATTGAGTTGAACACATGTATCGGCGCAGAGGAGCCAGAGGATTTGATGTGCTTGTGGGGGTCCGGTTATATCTCACGCCGACGGCGTTTGGGGCTCCTCCCTCCGGGCGGCTCCGTTGAGCGCTTGGGCGTGGTGGGCTTGAGCGGGCTGTGACGACGGCTGGCCCCTCTACACTCAGCTCGGGAAGGAGGGCTCCACCTCGACCACATCAAAAGTGACCCCGTCGCGCACGAGCGTGTGGGTTACGCCGGTGGGATGCATGTACGTGAGGGGCGGGTACAGGTACTCCTTCTCGTGCGGGAAGGCGGAGAACTCCGAAATGTCCACGCCCATGTTCATGAACGTTGAGCTTTTGAGCCGGAAAAGCAAAGCGCGCTGCTTGCCGGCTGCGGACGCGTAGCGCGCCGCGACCTCGAGCCTCGAGGTCGTGCTGCAGCAGGCAAACTCGGTGCCGCCCATCGACAGGAAGCGGGGCGGAGCGCGCAGATCACCCATGCCCCGCCAGAGGATGCGCCCCTCCTCCTGCTTCGCCGGCCGCGCGCAGCCGAGCGCCCGGACGGCAGCTCGCAACCATCCGCCGTCCGCTGCGTGTGCTCCGTCGCCGTCCACCTCCTCCGCCCACCTCTCACCTCCCTTCTTCTCGTCCGCCCCGACGCCAGAGACCAAGCTCTCCCGAACAGTAGCCCGCCCCTCCTCGATGACGCTGCTCTCCTCGTCGCCGCCCTCCTCCTGGATGGGGAGAGCAAGGCCCTCCTCGCATCCCGCCAGCTCTGACCGCGCCTGCCGTAGCGTGCTCAGGCTGAGCTCGCCGGCCACCGCCAAGGTCTTGAGACCCTGCTCCTCCAGCTCCTGGCCAGCGAGGTCGACCGACGTCGCTGCGGCGACGGCGCGCATCCGCTTGAGCGCCTCGTAGATGAAGGCCATCGTCACCGGCTGAGGGTGCGGCGCCGCCAGCTGCGGAGGCTCGAGTGGCAGGGGGCTGCCGTCCTCGCCCTTGCGGCAGTGGCTCATCTTGAGGTTGCGCATCGGCCCATTGAGCGCGCGGAAGGCGGCGGTCGAGTACAGACGCAACGCGACCACGTGTGCCTCTTCAAGCTTCGCCCTGCGCGCCACAGGCAGGGCCACAAAGTCGGCCAGTACCATGCCCTGACGCCCTCCAAGCCGAGAGCCATCCGGGGCTCGGTCGCGCCGCCAGCCGTTGTGAAAGCTGGTGGCACTCGAGCCGGCCGAGGCGTCGAGGATGTAGCGCAGGTTCTCGAGCACCTCCGGGTCGTCGAGCGCCTCCGCCTCCTCGATGATGGCGGCGGTGCCAGTAGCCATCTTTTCTCGCAGGTACGCCTCCTCGTGGCCGATGATCCCGTACAGCCCCGTTGCCGCTTCCTCCGGCTGTCCCGTGACGAGCTCCTTGGCCGAGCCGGCGAACCGATCGGAGGCTCCCTCCGCGTTGGACGTTAGCAGCCCATCGACGCTTGGTGCGCCGCATCGAAAGGCCGCTGCGAACTGGCTGCCACCGGGGATGGCCTTGATGGCCTTGACAGCCTTGCAGCCACCGGGGATGGCCTTGCGCCCCGCAGCCCTTAGCAGCAGCGCCAGCGAGACGGCACTGAGGAGAAGGCTCACGCAGCCCTGCGCGAACAGCACCCAAGCGATGTACGGCGCGTTTTCTGGCTGTACCGCACGCAGGAAGGTGCTGCAGACCTTGCCCTTCGTCGGGTAGACGTAGCCACCGATCGACTCGACGCCCTCCTTCGACCCGATGAGCTGATCGCATTCACTGACAAACCACATCTTCTTGACAGAGTCAGATATATCGCCCACTAGGTTCAGGTGTTGATTTACCCCGCCGTAAGTCAGGCCCCAGCTGGCGAGGAGCCAGGCGCCGTAGACAAGGCCGCTAACGGCCCCGAAAGCGAGCCAGAAATACCGGGACGGCCTCGACTTGACCCACGCTGCAAAGTTCAGGTTGCTCCTCGAGAGGGGGAGCGCGACGGGAATGACCACCCAGGCGGGCAGCCAGGGCAGCAGCAGGATGGCCAGGAGCACCAGCGTGCGAGCGATCCATCTCGTGTGGCGCACGGCGACGCGCACCTCCGCCTCCAGGAATCGTCTCTGCTTCTTCTCCACTTCGATTGTGTTTAGAGCGCGCTCCAGCTCTAGGAGGACGGTAGATGGCCGAGAGCATGCTCGTCGCATAGCAAGCGCGGGCAGGAACAAGACGGTCGCCCAAATTGGCAGCAGCCAGAGAAGCATCCAGACGACGTCGACACTGCGCCAGGGCGACGACACTCGCCAGTCGTCGTCCACGACTCGCACCGCGACGAGACTGACGCCCGTGTTCCGGCCAAGATCATACAAGTTTATCTTGAGGTAGCCCCCATCGCCTTTGGAAGGGTAGCAGACAGCAGGACCCAAGAATTGTCTGCATTCCGCCAGGTCATTGCCGGTATAGCCTCGACAGAATCCATCAATCAAAACGTCGCAGAGGCGATGGAGGAGGGACTGCCCTGGCGCGTGGTCGACAAAATCCACGAGCGTGACGGACACAACTTGCACGGTATCATCGGTGGCGACGAGCTTGGTTTGGTCGACAAGCTCTGTGCCAGGAGCGGTCTTGACAAGGTCGTCTGTGGACACTTCTCCCAGCCTGCTCACGCGGCTGTCATCAGCTGACAAACTCAGGTCTACTTTGCAGCCATCGGTCGAGGTGATCAGGACGAACGGCGGAAAGGCCTCGCTTCCAGAACCAATGTTATCCGCCAGTATCTCTCGGAGGTCCGATGTGTCGATGCTGCTTGACTGGGACAACTGGCTGGCAGTTGCGCCCACCTGCGTCCGGTTGACGGCCACGCACATTGTTATGGCCTCCTTCAATTTCTGCGGCAGCGGCGGCGGCGCCGGAGGCGACGGCGACCAGGGCGGCAGCGACGGTGATGGCGGCGGCGACGGGAGGGCGTGGGCGAAGAGAGCGGCCCACATATCTCGCGGAGAACGAACAGCAAGGGGCCCTTCCAAGGGCGACCGCTGAAGCCTTCACAAGGGCGCGCCTTTTAGAAACAAAAGAAATCGACGCCCCGCTGTCAGCCCATTTGTCCAGTGCCGCCAGTCCCGTGCACAGTGTCGTGCGATGCTTCAATTCTTTCCCTCGGTGATACGGTGAGAAAACGGAGACGCCAAAACGACGAATGGGAGAAGGACAGGGTCCCCACCTGCACGTCCTGCACGAGCAGGATCTTGGAAGGACAAAAGAAAGAAAGAAAACACACAAGGCAGACGAGGGAGGATGGGGGGAGGACAGGGTCCCTACCTGCACGAGCAGGATTTTGGAAGGACGATCAGCATCAGGGACACAGGGGAACGGGAGTGGGGAGCGCATCGCGACACGGAGGGGGGCTGGGCAGCGTTCACCCACACGACAAATGACGTGTGATATGCGCGTCATCTTCAAACACCCCCCCCCACGCACCTGGGGACCCCCCTCTAGGTCGACGGTCTGACCAGGTGGAGGTGGGGGGGGGTAGCTACACCCCCCTGTCGCTCAGCGGTCCCGAGCCAGCGGCAGCTGACCCCCCCTCCGGTAGCTTACCCCCCCCTCGGTCCCGCCCCCTCGCCAGCTTGCGGAGCTGACCCCCCCCTCGGTCAGCTAGGGTCCGGGGCGGAGCCCCGGCGGGGTGCGGGGCGGAGCCCCGCGAAGAAAATTTTGCGTTTTTTGCAAAATATCGGTCGTCGGCCCTTGTGCTTGAAGACTTGTCGCCTGTGCCACCGCCGCGGCCGCCCTGCTCCCGGTGGCAGATAATAGCCCAGGTCGAAGAGTGCGCCCAGCTCTCGGTATCTGGGTGGCAGGCGGGACTAGAGAGGCACGCTGGTGCACGGTTGGGGGCGAGAGCCGCCATCTTGGACCGTCAGGCGAGTATTTGCAACCGGGAGCTCGCCGCCGCCCCTACTCCGCCGCCGCCGCCCTCCCGAGGGCAGATAATAGCCCAAGTCGAAGAGTGCGCCCAGCTCTCGGTATCTGGGTGGCAGGCGGGACTTGAGAGGCACGCTGGTGCACGGTTGGGGGCGAGAGCCGCCATCTTGTACCGTCAGGCGAGTATTTGCAACCGGGAGCTCGCCGCCGCCCCTACTCCGCCGCCGCCGCCCTCCCGAGGGCAGATAATAGCCCAAGTCGAAGAGTGCGCCCTGCTGTCGGTATCTGGGTGGCAGGCGGGACTTGAGAGGCACGCTGGTGCACGGTTGGGGGCGAGAGCCGCCATCTTGTACCGTCAGGCGAGTATTTGCGACCGGGAGCTCGCCGCCGCCCCTACTCCGCCGCCGCCGCCCTCCCGAGGGCAGATAATAGCCCAAGTCGAAGAGTGCGCCCTGCTCTCGGTATCTGGGTGGCAGGCGGGACTAGAGAGGCACGCTGGTGCACGGTTGGGGGCGAGAGCCGCCATCTTGGACCGTCAGGCGAGTATTTGCGACCGGGAGCTCGCCGCCGCCCCTACTCCGCCGCCGCCGCCCTCCCGAGGGCAGATAATAGCCCAAGTCGAAGAGTGCGCCCTGCTGTCGGTATCTGGGTGGCAGGCGGGACTAGAGAGGCACGCTGGTGCACGGTTGGGGGCGAGAGCCGCCATCTTGGACCGTCAGGCGAGTATTTGCGACCGGGAGCTCGCCGCCGCCCCTACTCCGCCGCCGCCGCCCTCCCGAGGGCAGATAATAGCCCAAGTCGAAGAGTGCGCCCAGCTCTCGGTATCTGGGTGGCAGGCGGGACTAGAGAGGCACGCTGGTGCACGGTTGGGGGCGAGAGCCGCCATCTTGGACCGTCAGGCGAGTATTTGCGACCGGGAGCTCGCCGCCGCCCCTACTCCGCCGCCGCCGCCCTCCCGGTGGCAGATAATAGCCCAAGTCGAAGAGTGCGCCCTGCTCTCGGTATCTGGGTGGCAGGCGGGACTAGAGAGGCACGCTGGTGCACAGTTGGGGGCGAGAGCCGCCATCTTGGACCGTCAGGCGAGTATTTGCGACCGGGAGCTCGCCGCCGCCCCTACTCCGCCGCCGCCGCCCTCCCGAGGGCAGATAATAGCCCAAGTCGAAGAGTGCGCCCTGCTGTCGGTATCTGGGTGGCAGGCGGGACTTGAGAGGCACGCTGGTGCACGGTTGGGGGCGAGAGCCGCCATCTTGGACCGTCAGGCGAGTATTTGCGACCGGGAGCTCGCCGCCGCCCCTACTCCGCCGCCGCCGCCCTCCCGAGGGCAGATAATAGCCCAAGTCGAAGAGTGCGCCCTGCTGTCGGTATCTGGGTGGCAGGCGGGACTAGAGGCACGCTGGTGCACGGTTGGGGGCGAGAGCCGCCATTTGTACCGTCAGGCGAGTATTTGCGACCGGGAGCTCGCCGCCGCCCCTACTCCGCCGCCGCCGCCCTCCCGAGGGCAGATAATAGCCCAAGTCGAAGAGTGCGCCCAGCTCTCGGTATCTGGGTGGCAGGCGGGACTGGAGAGGCACGCTGGTGCACGGTTGGGGGCGAGAGCCGCCATCTTGGACCGTCACTGCCGCTCGATCAGATCGTCGCCATGCTCACGCCCCGCGACATTGAGTACTTTGCGACTCGACATGGTAAGTTCCTCCACTACGCGACCATGCTCAAGCTGTGCCCCAAGGACTCACCCGAGTGCGCTAGCTGCTGGTACTGCTCCCGCTTCGGGCAGCGGCTTCTGCCCCCTGAGCTGCAGAAGCACTTCCTGCCGGTCTACCCCACGGTGGGCAGCACTGGTGAGTTTACTCCGTTTGCCACTCGATGGGAGGAGACGCTTGCCGGTCGTGGGCAGGCCTATGTGTCTGACACCTCGCTCGTGTCACGCGTCGTCTCTTCCGCCTACGCCAAGCACAGGCTGCGGCGGCGGTGGAGGCAGAGAGGAAGGCGGCGGAGGCGGCGGCTGCTGCGGAGGAGGCTGGGGAGGAGGCTGTGGCGGAGCTAGACGCGGACTCAGCCCAGGCTGAAGCAGCAGCGGCCTCGGCAGCGACGAAGGCGGACGAAGCGCGAGCGGCCAAGGAGAGGGCGGCGGCGGCGCAAAAGGCGGCCGAGGTGCCTCCGGATGCGCTAGTTGCATCGCTTGCAAAGGAGACGCTGCTTCAGCCTGGGAGCATACGCTCACTGTTCAAGAAGCACTACTCTCAGAAGAAGAAAGCGGCACAGTGGGAGGCACCGCATCAGGCCACGGGCGCGGGAGGGGATGCTCAAGCAGCTGCCGTGGAGAACGGGTCCCTCAAATATGACGCGTCACTAGTTGGCCGGCGCTGCACGGTGTTGTGGTGCCCTGAAGACGGCGACGAGGAGGACGAAGACTACTATAGCGCTACCATTGTTGCATACAATAGCCGCTGTGCCCCCCGCAAGGGACGCTTCCTCCTCCACTTTGATTGCGGCCTGCGCAAGCGCGTGCAACTGCCAGCCGTGAAACAGTGCGTATCATGACGAGGCGCGTCTCCAGCTGTAGCTGCCAGAAGTCACCCGGCGGTGTGGCTGGCTGCTGCGAGGGCACTGACGGCTGTGAGGAGCTGCCGCGCCCATGGGAGGCGGAGCCGAAGTAACCACACGCTGGTTGGTGCTGTTATTTGCGTAGCTAGGATGGCTCGCAGTGTGTGTCACACATGAGTGAGAGACATACGATACGTGATAGAGTACTTTGCATGTTCATACTCATTGTTCATACACACACGGACACACGTGTTTCCTACCACCACTCAAACGTTCGTCCGTTCCGCAGTTCTCGTACAGCTCTTCGAGCTCCACCCAGCGTGTGTCGGTGAAACCCGAGAGTCGTGTTCATCCTCTCCAAACTCACCGCGCGTGAGGTAGCAAATAGTGTGTCGGCAGCAGTCAGCTTGTTGCGCCGCTTCTTTCCGATCAGTTGATCGGGGTCGCACAAGCGCATGCGGAGCACCGCCTCGATCTTGTAGCAGAATGTTGGCACGACCGCGTCGTCCGCACCGCCGCCTGCAAGCCGTGCCTGGCGCCGATGCTGCCTTTTGCGTTTTGGCACTTGTAGCGAGCACACATGGTGCGGTGCGCGTACTTGAGCAGGCGGTGCGCGCCGCAGTTGGCACAGGGGCCCTGGGAGTATGGCGTGCTGCGGCATGTGGACGCGCGTCCAGGTATTTTTCGGGTAAACCTGGACTTTCTCGGGTATACCCGGGTTTTACCTGGGTCTTGGGCAGGCACCCCCCTGTCGGTCGAGCAGTCTTGGCTCCCGCGAGGTGTACCCCCCTCTCGGTCAGAGGCCTGGCCAGGGGCACCTGTAGGGGGGTACCACCACCCCCCTCATGCTCACACGTCTTGCGAGAATGGGGGCGGCTAGGTGCGAGGGGGGGGGTGTTTGAAGATGACGCGCATATGAGTGTTAGATTTGTTTGGTATTGCTAAAAATCTCTCCCACACGACAGGGTCCCAGGGATTCCCCTCTCGTATAGGACAAGTTGCACCGGCGGCACGGGGGCAGGCGCGGGCCTCCTACTGGTTGCGCTCTCCTAGTTCTCCTGCTCCTGCCTGACAAGGGACAGCGAAGGCTCGCAGCACGGTGGACGGTGCTCCCGCGGGTTTCTTTATCGGGTACCCATCCACGACGGAGCTCGGCTCCACCACGAGCCGATGGCAGCCCGGTCTAGCCGGCCTGTCGACTACTATGACGGCAAGGCCGTCTCGCTGGACATCCCGGAGGCGATCCAGCGCCGCCTCTCCGTCCGCTCCTCGCTCACGCCTGATTCGGCGAAGCTTATCCTGGTGATGGTCGGCCTTCCCGGCCGCGGCAAGTCCTTCATCGCGCACAAGCTCTCGCGCTTCCTCAACTGGACGGGCTACCAGACCGAGATCTTCAACGCCGGCCAGAACCGGCGCGCCAACCACTCGCCCACCAACCACTCGCGCGCCGGCTTCTTTGACCCGAGCGACGCGGAGAGGAAGGCAAAGCGCGAGAGCATCGCGATGAGCACGTTTGAGGAGCTGCTCGAGTGGCTGGCGGGCGGCGGCGAGATCGGCATCTTTGATGCCACAAACTCGAACCCGCAGAGGCGCGCCCTCCTCGTCTCACGCGCGGCCGAGTGGAAGGGTTGGAGGAGCGGAGACGCGAGCCCTGCCGCTGGGGGCGCCGGCGCGGGCGTCGCGGGCGGAGGCGGTGCCAGGTTCGGCGTGTCGATCGTCTTCATCGAGTCGATCTGCACCGACAAGTCTATCCTCGAGGCCAACATGCTCTCCAAGGTGCGCGCCTCGCCCGACTTTGCCGGCCTGAGCGAGGAGGAGGCGCTCTCCGACCTGCGGCAGCGGGTCTCGCACTACGAGGCGTCGTACGTGCCGGTGGCGGACGAGGAGGGGGCGTACATCAAGCTCTTCGACCTCTCCTCCAAGGTGACGGCCCACCAGGTCTTCGGCCGCATGACGCAGCGCGTGCTTCCCTACATGATGAGCCTGCACATCTCGCTCCGCCCAATCTTCCTCGCCGCGCTGCCGCCCGGATACGGCGACGCCTCCTCCCGCGGTGCCCCGTGCACGCCACGCGCACGGCACGCGGCTGACGCGTCCACGGACACGCGCAGGCGACCTCTCCTGCGAGGAGGGCGGCTGCTCCTCCCCCAACCAGTCCTTCGCGCTCCAGCTCGCCGGCTGGGTCGGCAGGCACGGAATTAATTAAATTAAGTAAGTAAGAAGTAAGTAATCACAGCTCGCCGGCTGGGTCGGCAGGCACGGAATTAATTAATTAGCAAGTAAGAAGTAAGTAATCACAGCTCGCCGGCTGGGTCGGCAGGCACGTAATTAATTAAATTAAGTAAGTAAGAAGTAAGTAATCACAGCTCGCCGGCTGGGTCGGCAGGCACGTAATTAATTAAGTTAGCAAGTCCGTGATGAATGAATCACAGCTCGCGAGCTGGGTCGGCAGGCACGCGCCGTCCTCGCCCCTCCGCCTCCTCTCGTCGACGCAGGCGAGCGCGGTCGACGCGGCGAGGGTGGTCGCGCGGGACGTGCGCTCACCCGCCACCCGCCCCACACGCCCCACACACCCAAGCCACCGCCGCGCCAAGGCAGCCGCCACGCTCAAGCCCCTGCACTGCCCCGCTAGCCCTCGCCGCACCCCTCCCGCACACGCCGCACCCCTCCCGCACACTCCCGAGCCGACGCCGCGCTCGGCACCCGAAGGCCGCACTCCTCTCGCAACCCGCTGCCCCAGATGCGGCGGCGCGGCGTCGGCTGCTCTGTGACAAACGTCTCCTGCCTCAACCCGCTCGACCGCGGTATAGTACAGTATAGCATAGCATAGTGTGGTGTAGTATAGTATAGTCTCCTGCCTCAACCCGCTCGACCGCGGCGCGAGACGCGCCCGAGACGCCGAGATTGCCAGAGATGAGCCGAGAGGAGCCGAGATTGCCAGAGATGAGCCGAGAGGAGCCGAGATTGCCAGAGATGAGCCGAGAGGAGCCGAGATTGCCAGAGATGAGCCGAGAGGAGCCGAGATTGCCAGAGATGAGCCGAGAGGAGCCGAGATTGCCAGAGATGAGCCGAGAGGAGCCGAGATTGCCAGAGATGAGCCGAGAGGAGCCGAGATTGCCAGAGTGAGCCGAGAGGAGCCGAGGTGATTAGCCTCCACTTCGTGCGTCCGCCTGCTCGAGCGCGGCGCGAGGGGGCAGCGCTGAGGCGGCGTCTCACCCTGCCGCTCGCCCACCTCGCCTGCGCGCCGCCTGCCGCAGGCTCCGAGGCGGGCGAGGACCAGTGGGCGACGCAGCGGCTCGCTTCGATGGGCTTCTCGCAGCGCTACCCGGGAGGCGAGTCCTTCGCCGACCTGGTCCGCCGCCTCGAGGCGCCGAGCAGTAGCCAGCTGCGAGAGCAGAAGCTAGGAGGTCCGGAGAGGACTCGCCTCACCTGGCCACCGCTACTCCCCTCGCAGCTAGCTTCTGCTCTCGCAGCCAGCTCCTGCTCTCGCAGCCAGCTCCTCCCCCTCCCCCCCTCCCCCCCTTAGGCGTGCGTCCTCGAGGTCGAGGCCTCGACAGAGCCGGCGACCGACCCCCGGCCGCGGACAGCGGCGCGATGCGGCCGTCCTCACCTCGCCCTATGGCGGCGCTGGTAGGTGCTCATCGTGGCGCACGCGACGCCGTGCCGCGCTCTGCGCGCATATTTCCTCGGCTTGCCGGTCGCGGAGTGCATGTGCGCCGCGTCGAGCCGACGCGGCGGAGGCGACCCTCTCCACGGCTGTGACGCGTCCATGACACGTCCATGCCAGGTGCCCGGCGTCGAGCCGCGCGGCGGAGGCGCTGGCGAACGCGTCGCGCTCCGTGGTCGAGCTGCTGCCGGCGCTGTTTGGCAAGTGGAGTGAGGAGATCCACACGCTCGAGGAGCGCGGCGAGAACAGCGAGGTGCTCAGTCTCGATGACGCCGTCTTCAGCCTCGAGGGGCAGGTGGGATGAGCGCGCTCTTGCGCCCTGTTTGACCAGTACTAACGTATGTGGTACGTACAGGTGCTTCCATGCGGTGGTGTGCGCGGCACGTGACACTGGTCCGCGACGGCACGCGCGTTATTTGTGTGCCGCACACACCTTGTAGTTGTACCTTCTCGTGCTGTGGTGTGTGGAGCATGCTCTTTTTCGGGGGAGATTTTTTCGCATTGACCATTGTCGATTGTGTCGATGATTTTGTGTTTTTTCGCCACACAAAGTGCCACACACGCGCCTGTACGACGGCTTTTTTTATCGTGAGGCTGTAATGTGTAACATGTCGTAAACAAGCTCGGTGTATTGAATTGTGGAGCTGGGGGGCCGAGCGTTTTTGATCTATCTGCACTCCCTGGGTGATTGGGCGCCCGCCCACCGCCTCTGAGGGGGTCGGGCCCCCTCTAGACTGAAAACAAAAACAAAATCGAGAAACAGTAAAAAACAACCTGCGAGAGCGGCGCTGCGCGCCGCCTACTAGCTGCTTCGTGACTGAGATCTGAGTATCTAGATAACCCCAAACGGCATCCCAAAAAACGTGTAACAACCGAGACCACATCAGAGGCGGATGGGCGCACGCACCCGCGCAGCGCCGCAAAGAAGCTGGCGACGGCAATGCGCTTCATGATGAAGGAGCTCAACCGGTTCGAGGACGAGATGACATCGAGGATGTCATGTTGCGCGACGGCGTCATCCATTTCGTCAAGCCACATTCATCGTGACCGTCGCCACCCTCGCCGCCGTCTCGCCTACGTCGCCGCCGTCGCCATCATGGGCCTCGCTGCCGAGACGGTGCTGTTGCATCTGACTCAACTCTCCCACCCCCCCTGGCTCCTATGCCGACGTGTCCCGTGCTCCCCCGTCCGCAGATGTCTCTGCTGTGCCGCCCGGCGGAGCTCTGCGGCGGGCCCTGGCCTCCTCGCCGCCTTCGCTGCTGCTGTCTGTTTTCTGTTTTCTGTTTTTCAAAACGCCCGCCCGCCCGCCACCCCGACGCCCGAGGCGGCTCGGCCCCCCACTCAGCCAGAGATCAAAAACGCTCGGGGCCAGGCCCGGGTAAAAAATTAAAAGGGGGTATAGCGTATACGTACATCTGACATGCACATGCACATGTCCATGTCCATGTGCATGGTTGTGCATGTGCATGGACCAGGAGTGAGCGCTGTAATGATAGGGTGCCCACAGGACCCAAAAAAAGAAAAGAAAAAGAAATGGGGCAACCCCGATCGCAGCACTTCGTGTTGGAGAGTCGAGATATTGAGAGTGTGACTAGGAGGGAGGGACGCTGGGGATTCTCAAAGGTATACCCTTGGAATGGCCGGATCCAGCCTTAAAAGTACGTGTACGAGATCGCGCGCGCTTCACGCACAGCACCGCCTGTTCTCCGCGGTTGTGTGACGACGCGTGCCGTGTGCTAGCAGAGTTGGGCGCGTCGCGGCGCGACGGCGCCCGCGAGGGAAGGCGCGGGTGCAGCGGCCGCCGGCGGCCGTACCGCCCGCCAGCCGGCGCAGCAGCGGCCAGCGCAGCGGCCGCCGGCGCAGCAGCCAGAGCAGCCGGTGCGCGCCTCTTGCGAGGCGAGTACTGCCGTCCGGCAGCCTTGAGGCGGCCGGGCGAGGCGGCCGGGCGGCAGTACTCGTTCGAACTTTGCGAGCCGTGCGCGCGCCGAGGCGCGCGCGGCGCGCGCCCGCCCGGCTGCCAGTAGGGGGCGGCGCAATATGGCCTATAGTACAGCCCTGAGGAGAAGGAAGAGGCTGGCTGGCAATGCTGTATGCCGCCGAGGGCCATTTTTGGGGTGCTGACCCACGCCCAGGGGGCTTCAAAAAGGGGTCCCCAAGCCGGGAAAACCCGCCCCCCCCCATCCGAGGCCGGTCGAAGCCCACTTGGGCACAGCCATGAGGAGTCCTCTTGGTGCTCCTCGCGGCCGTTTGAACCTCGGGCGCGCGCCGATGGGGGGGGGGGGGGGGGTCTTGCTTGCTCCACACCGAGCGCCATCGGTCCGGACCGGCCCGGCGTGCCCACCGAGGGTCGGCTTGCACAAGGTCTGAGCCGCGGGCGCTCGGCGCCAAGTGCAGTGTCACGCTCGCACTGGAGCGGGTCACAATGGGAAACCCTCGTTTCCTATGTACTCGGTCCCCCAACGGAAGAGGCCTCGCTCCTATTGGAACACTCCCAACATCAGACGTTGCCTCGTGCGTCCCTTTTTGAGGCGGAAAGCTATTTTCTTTTGGGTCCTGTGGGCACCCTAGTAATGAGTGCGTCTGATAAAAGACAGACCCGCGGAGACCCGCGCCCACATCGGATCGCACTGTATCCGTCACCGCCACAGACCCACCGCCACTCGACTACGGCTCTCTCTCTCGAGGAGGACCGAGAGAGAATGCGGAGTGACGGAGCACAAGAGACATCACAGTAGAGAGGGAGAGGCACAGAACAGGGAGAACCAACGAAACATGGAAACATGGACGACGCGAGGGGAGCAGGCAATCGCTCCCTCGACATTGGTCATTGCGACGGCAGCGCAACGCGCGCCTTAGTAGCAGTCGGACTGCCCCGACCAGCCAGCAAACGGCATCGGCGCAAAGACGGATCCCGTGGCCTCGTCCTCGGTGAGGACGAGGATGCGGGCCACCGCCTTCATGTGCTCGGTGCTGAGGGGCGTGCCGACGCCAAAGTAGTAGCGCAGCTGGTCCGAGTCGGGCCGGTAGCCCGGGTAGAGGGCGAGCGAGTTCCAAAAACAGTCCTTGGCGCCCTCGTTGTACATGTTTGCGCGGATGGTCGCCTCGCGGCGCAGCGCGCTCCGTATGCGCTCGACGCACAGCGGGTCCGTGGACGGCGCCTGCAGGAAGCGGCAGTTCGTGCCGAGCACCTGCGCCGGCTTGAAGCCCGTGACGCGCTCGAAGCCGCCCGAGAGCCACACCAGCGGCTGGTCTGCAGCCGCCATGTCGACGAGCGTGACCATCAGGTTGAGCGAGTGCAGCGCCGCCACCATCGCAACCTCGAAACCGCGCCCGTTGAACCAGAGCCACGAGCGGGGCGCCTGCGTGCGTGCGTGCGTGCGCGGCACGCGCGTGAGCGACGCGGCGAAAGGAGGGGCGCGGGGCTGGCGCGCGCGCCCGGTGGTGGTAGAGCGAGCACAAGTCTGGCCCCCCGATCTTGGGAGGCCGCGCCGCGAGCGGCGCCTGCGGCCAGTTCATGTCATGCAGCAGCGCCGCGATGTAGGCTTTCGACTCGTAGATGAACCGCGAGAGCGAGAGCAGCAGGCAGCGGTGGCGGCCGTCCGCGCACTGCACGTGCAGCGGCGTCGTCGACGGCTGCCCCTGCAGCGCCGCGCGAATGGCGGCGAGCGGGTCGATGGCAGCCCCCTCCGCCTCGGGGTTGGGCGTCGACCAGTGGCCGTCCGCCTCCTCCTCCGGTTGCACGAGCAGCGAGCGCAGCAGCGGCTCGAGCCTGCCCTTGAGCACCGTCTGGCCTACGGCGCGGCGCAATCAGACGTCACCGCCCCCGCCGCGGCAGCCTTTCCTCGAGAGCCGCGAGCCGCGCCCTCCACCCCGACCAGCGCCGCGAAGGTGTCCGAGCAGAGCATCACCGGCAGCGCCTCGCCGCCGCCCTCGTCCACCGCCTCGCACAGCGCCACGCCCTCGCCGCGGCAGTAGGCCAGCTGCGAGAGCACCTTGCGCTGGTAGTGCGCCTGCATCTCCCCCTTGAGCGCCACCTGCCCGGCGCGGAGGAGGCGCGGCGTGGGGGCAGGGGCGGGGAGGCGCTCTCGCCGCCTGCTTCGGCGCCGCCTCTTCACTCGCCGGCGTCGACACTCCAAGTGCCGCGACGACGCGGATAAACTTGTTGTCTCGCCAGCGCCCCATGACCGAGAGCCGGAGCCGCACCGTGGCGGGGCCCGCGTCGGCGGGCGCGGGCGTGTGCCGCGTGCCCCGCCACTGCTTGCCCTCCCCTTGCGCGAGCAGCTGCATCCGCAGCGCCTCCTCGTCCCAGAAGCACACGTGGTCCACGACCTTGCCGCCGCGGATCGTGTCGACGGCGATGCCTGCGCAGCGGGAGGCCCGCGGTGAGCGGGCGCGAGGCGGAGGAGGCGCCGCCCATGGCCTCGGCCCCGCCCGCCTTGCGTGCGGACGGTCTGGTACGTCGGCGCGAGCGCGGCGTACGACCCGTCCGCGAGTCGCGTGTGGTAGTCGCCGCTGTGCGAGCCGGTCCACTGCCACGTGGTGATGACCTCGTCCGCCTTGCAAGTCTGCTCCAGGATCTCGAAGCGCAAGTCTCCAAAGGCGAGGGCGAGCAGGCCGCGCGAGTCGAGGAAGGCCTCGAGCCCGTTCGCCTGCGCCGCGCCGCGCGCGTGCTCGGGGAGGGGGCGGGGCGGGGGCGGGCCGAGGCGGAGTGCATCTCGGGCGGATTCCGGGTGCACCCCGGGGTGCACCTCGTCTGGATCTCGTCTGGATCTCGGGTGGATCTCGGGTGGATCTCGGGTGCGGCTCGCCGACGCGAGCGACTCGGAGCAGGGGCAGCGCGGGCCCTTGTGCGCGAACGAGGCCATCGGCGTGAAGAGGGAGCGCAGCTCCGCGTCGTCGGCGCGCGGCGCCATGTACGCGTACTCGTAGAGGCGGCGCGCGGCCGCCTTGCGCCGCTCGCTGCTGGTGACGTCGCGCATCGTCATGGTGATGAGCACCTCGCGCTGCAGCGGCGTCGATGGCGTGCCCGCCTGCTCCTGCGGCTTGAGGGCGTCGAGCGTGC